ATGAGTAACCTAGCCCTTTGCAGCCACTAGAGACCGCTATCAATAAAAGAGCCACCTTGAAATGGTAATGGGTAGGGGGCTGCGATTCAGGGAATGAATTGTTCCTCCTCCAACAGAGAGAGGCAGAGGTGGTAATCTGTGTGTTGTTTAATCGCCCTATTTTCTCTCAAGAAAGGAACCCAAATAAGCCCCCATTATCTTTTTTTTTCCACAGAGCCAAGTGTAATCAACAATCAACAAAGGGACCTTGAGTAATTAGAGAGTGGGAGGCGGTGTGCATTGAGCTCTCCTTCAAAGAGACCTCTGTTTTTTTTTTTGCCGGACTCAAATTGATTCAGGTGTGCCTTGAATTATCTGCTGGAGCCGAAGGAGATAATTTGAGATTTGTAGCCGACCCAATTATTGCGAACTTCTTTCGCAAACGATCCAAGGAAGGAAGGGAAGGACAGCGGTGGCCGGCTGTGTGGTTGTCTCTTTAGACATTTAACGGAGCGACGATTCCTTCTGCAGCTGCCCATCCCCAAGCCACTCCCTCGCTGCCCGCCGCCACGTCCTCGCATCCCCCCTTTTTGCCGAAATTAAATTCCGTTTAAATGCAACTGTTTGATATCTGTTAATATTTAAATGTTATGCCGTGCGCCCGTCTAACATATGCTGCGGCCTTTGTTCCGCGCCGAGGCGAGTCAGGATTTGCAGAGCAACATTCTCCTCTCCGGGCAGAGCACCACGACCTGTCTAGCTTAGCCGCATATTCATTTCAAAAAGCGAATGTTAAGTGCCCTCGTAATCCTTGGATATGAAATGTGATTCCCCGACCCTGGCTACCGTGCACCTATTTGTTGTTTTGACGGTTTATTTGTCTCTTGGGAGTAAGTAAAAAAAAAACCGCTGAATGTTTTCACCTGGTATGATCTATTGTGAAACAATTATAATTCTGCACAGAGAGCTGACATCTTGGGAAGTCTTTGGAAAGGGAAAAACAAAAATCGTTTTATATGGGAGAATAAAAAAAAACACTCTTACCAAATTAAAAGTTGTTCCAATGGATTGATACATCCACTTTTCCTTACTGCAGTGGCAAAGCGGAAGGAACATATTTTAGGAAACAGAGTTCCGTGTGTGGTTTATTCACAAATTCCGCTGAAATCTGACCAAGGCTGCTGCATTGAATGAAGGATGGGTCAGGATGAGAGCCAAGATGGAACATATGGTCTTGAAATTAGGAGATGCTTTATTGCCCACGTTTACACATTACGACAAGCCTTTGCACATCCTTTCTCTCTAACTAAATCTGGTATCCATAAAACATGTTCTTAATTTATGTCCCTCATTGCTCAGACACACTACGTTATAAATATCACGTGTCTCCTGCTAAGTACGGCGTTTTTAGGCACGCTGTCGCATTTAAAAACATTTGGGAATTGAAATCGTACGTGTGCATTCTGTGTGTGCGTGCGCTACGAACCGCACCTCAAAGCCGAGTTCAATTCCTGGCCATGGTTAAACATCGGCGGAGAGTGTTAATGTCAGACAAAGGCAGCCGCCAGACGTGATTCTCGCCACGCCACCCCCTCGTGTACCTCACCGGCCTTCATGACAAAACATTACCCAACACATCGCCTTTGTATGTGCACGTGTTCTCTCACGGGCCAGGATGTAACATGCACACGCAAATTAAGTTCCTAAATGGGTTTTTTTTTGCGTGTGTGTTACCTGTGCAAATGTGCAACCGCCAACACAGTATCGTCAAAATGATCAACATTAATGGGGACTCGCAAACAGCACTTAGCCCAACAGTCTATAAAGCTGAGTGGGGCACATTTGTGCTCTGCGTGTCTATGTTACAGAGCAGTGGCCATGGCTCAATTCTAAGGGGGCGCATAGTTTTTAATCGAAGAATGCCACGTTTAAACTCAAACATTTAACTCAACAAATACCGTATATATTTAATGTAAGTATATATACTAAACGTTTTATGTTGCACTTAACCAGATCGACATGAGAATATTTATTTATACCGGAGGAATCCAATGAAGCTATAAAGCTCAGATGTCCAGAAGGATGGCCCAAAAGTCAGGACACAGGGTAATTATATTTATTTTAACATGTTCAAACTGACGTCCATTAACAAGAAGGCATGCGTGAATTATATTTTAAAACGAATTTAAGACTTTCTTTAACATTACACCTGTGTAATCTTTGAACATGGATCAATTCATGTTATGTCTAAATTAATTCAGGGTTCTTGGTTTAGTTTTGTAAATGACGGATTTGAGGTGACCCCACGGGAAGAAGAACATTTTATATTAATAATAACAATAGATAAAATAGCAACTAAAAGAATAAACAATGATGTCTTCATTCCAGTATTCAAATAGATTAAATAACCCTATGTGCCCTGACTTTTGGGCCACCCTGTATATATTTATACCTGTGCATCAAAAACAATATCAAATAAGATTATTTACAAAATATATAACTGCTGGCTGAGTCACTCTTTGCAGATTATATCACCAGCCTTGAAAAGACAATACACATTGGAACGAAATTGCTTTGCTTCTTTTGCAGTCTGTGCCTCACCTACCTGCTTACGTGACGACAATTAGCAATTGAACAGCCCTGGGTCGTATCAGAATGCCTCTTTTCAGCTACTTCAGCAACAAAAGGCATTGAACAAATGACATGGCTGGGCTGATAGGTGTAATGCTTTGCTCAAACACCCGCTCTTACAGCTGGCCTCTCCATCATTTGTGGGCTGCTGCTCACACTCAACAAAACAAAGAGGCAGACATCACCAGCACTTACTTCAGGTTAATTGCATTGTTTCAGAGTTAATTACTGACGCCGAACGGCTGCGTGGATTGGACCAACCCAGACCGGACTCTTGTTTTAAAACTCAGCCTGCTAGAGGAAGGGAGGTCATTTCCAGGGCTCCACATCATCGCCACGAGCGCGCACGACATCGGCAGAAGGAAACAGGAGCCCGCGGCCAACACCCTGGCAATGAACACCGCGGGCGAACAGAATAACTCGGAGACCCTCGCAGCTGTCCGCGCGGAGCCGCCCGCCGGCGTGGGAACGCGCGGCGCTTCGGGGGTGGCATCCGGCGGGACGGCAGAGACGCGACTCCCCCCGCCTTCCCACGGCGGCGAGGACGTCCGCGGCGAGGACTGCGAGATCTGCTGCGTCGCGTACGACGCGGCGCTCAACCCGCGGCGCGACCTCCTGTGCGGCCACGCGCTCTGCGGCGAGTGCCTGCGCCGGATCGGCTCGCTCGCCTCCTCCTCCTCGGCCGCCGTCAGCTGCCCCTTCTGCCGCCGGGCGCCGGCCGTGGCGTCCCGCGCGCCGGACGCCGCCGCCCGATCGCCCGTGCCGCCGTCGGCGCCCCGGCTCGCCGATTTTCTCCGCCGCCACGGCCGTTTGGCGAGCCCGCCCGCGCACGCCTCGCTCGGCGGGTGGCTCGGGTTCCCCGGGAGCTACGGCGCCGCGACGGAGCCGCCTCTCCTCACGACGCCGAGCGTCCCCGGCGGCGACGCGACGGTAGACGCGTCGCCGCGGTGCCCGAGGGCGACGTTGTTTGCGTGCGTGCTGGCGGTGGTGGTGGCGCTCTTGGCCGCGCTCGTGCTAATCGCGCTGCAGTGGAACGTGAACGCGGGCTTATTCCTGTTGGTGCTGGCGATCTTCATGGTCATCTGCATGTGCAACCTCGCGTACCACCTCTGCATGCCGCCGCCGCCAAATTTTGTGCCCTTCTTCATTATCTGATCAGGGGCGGATGGGAGCGATGAAACACGATAACAGAGTGCCAGCGTGAAGCCACTGACGTTTTCAAGACTTATTTTCCGTATCTCATTATGTTACCTAACTCTTTGTTAGTTAATTCATAGTTTAGTGGATTTCATTTATCCGCTATTGTATACATGTATGTGTGTTGAACTTCTTTCGCACCGGAGGTAGCCGACCGTGCTATTGACGGGCTCAGAGCAAGTAAGAGGGCTTGGGCTGGACACGTCGCTGCGCGAGCCCTCGCCGCGGGGTGGTCGGAAAGACGAGAGTCGCAGTCAGGTGTGGGAACCGGCCCCGAGAGGACTTCCGTCGCGGAGACGGAGCGTTGTAGTCGTTTCGTGTGCAGCCGCTTGGATCGTCGTATCGCAGGGCCGTGCGAGATGGCGATGGCATGGGGAGGCCTTTGTCCATCAGCCGATTGATCGTGGCTGATGATGATGGTGAAGGAGTAATACATTTCGTGGTTAATTGACGTGGCTCAATTGTGAAAACGTGGAGTGGTCCTTCCCCGGACCGTGCGTCGAGCGTGGGCTACCCGAGCGGTCTCGGCTGCCCACCCCAGCGGCTATTGCGTCGCTCTCGCGTGGCGACGCCGGGTCCTGGATTCGAACCCCCCCCCCCCCTTCCCCTCCGGGTTCACCTCTCGCTCCACACCGGCTCGTAACTCGGAGCCCCGCGAACGGCCGTGCAAGACGGGCGAGCCAACATCGACTCAATGCTTAAGAAAATAAAGGGATGGCGAGGATACGGAGAAAAGTAAATTGCCTACAAGTGTTTGGCTTTTGGCCTTGGCCGCGTGATGGAATGCGTGGGGAATTGTACAGTTATTTTAATGCTGGTAGCGCCGTGAATTATAAATGGGTTTTGTGCGTTTGTCGTAAATTTAACTTTGACGCGCAGCGCGGAAATAAAAGTGATGAACGGTTTTAGAATTTTGCGCGTTGTGTGTTCGTGTTTGTGCTTCATGTACATCTGTGGAAGTGGCGCAGGTTTACCACCTGCGATTAATTCTGCTTCTCCAGCGGAGCGAGTTGACCGCTTGGTCACCGAGAGCCGCACAAAAACACAACATTCACCAAGAGCCGCACAAAAACACAACATTCGATCTTATTCTTGGTTCTTTCGGTAAAGTCACGTAGAAGGCAATTTTATTGTTTTATTGTTTTATATTTTTATTATTTTATTGTTTCCCTTCTACGTGACTTTACAGAAAGAACCAAGAATAGAATCCTTGCAGTCACGAAAGCTTTAAATCAAAATTCAACATTCGATCTTTTGAGTTTCGCACTTGGCTTGGCTCAATTCCAGTTTTTTTGCTGTGAATAAAAAAAGATATATATAATTTTGACTCATGTGATGAACATTTATCCCTGTAGCCAGGGTGGGTGGGGGAAGAGCTGTGGCCCTTGAAAGATATTTCAGAAGCCGCTCTGTGATATCCCCTTTCGTGAGCTGATAAGTAGCGCAGGGTGTGTGCACCGTTCTGCGAGAATCCGAAATGGATTTTTCGTGTCTCAATCCAGATACAATTGGGGGGGAAATTACATTTTATATAAATAAGCCTTTCAGTTTTCCACACACAGAGATCAGGGGACTAGGATGACACCGCTGAGATCCTGGGTTTTAATTGGGGTTGTTAAAACCGTTATCCTTCATTACACGTAATCACATTTTAAAAATCGTTAAAAACACAGTTATCTGTTTGCCTCTTATGCAATAATGTACGACAATAAATACGCACGTACAGCCCTGTGTGTCTTTGGATCTGTTGTCTCATGTATGGCGTACCTGTTAGGACATTGGACTTGCAATCCAGACGTCACAGTACTTCAATCTCCTGGCGTGGCAGTTGAAGCAATGGGCCGAATTTTTCTTAAATTTCTCTGCCTCTGGTCGACCCAGCAGTAGTGATGGGTACTCCGCAGCGAGTCGATTGGCAGGTTTCCTGCGGTGGGGTAGAGCGCGGGTACACCCACCCACCTCGTCTAATGCATCTCGTCAGCGTGTGAAAAATAAATTGACGAAATACCGTCTGGAGCTTTCGCTGGTGGAGGCCCCTTCTGCCAGCCAGCAGGCAATTTCAGGGCTGCACCTTTACAAAAACAAATGTTTTACCAGGTAAGGCCCCCACTGAGCTGTCTAGCTCTTCTTCAGAAGTGACCTGATCACAAATGATCGCTCAAAGAAGTAGGAACTCATCACATTTATAGCAGCCAAATACTCTTAAACGCATTTGATTCTAATGTGGAGGGGAAAACCTGGAGGACCCGGAGAAAAATCCACGCAAACTCCAAATATACAGCAGCAGCAGCAGGCGTCAGGGTCGGGATCGAACCCACGACCTGCACACCAGGCAAGGTCGTTAACATCTAGCCACCGTGGCTCCCCCTTCATTATCCCTCACTGCACCTTGAACAGGAGCTGGTGAGTGCCGTGCTGGGCTCATCGCTGGTGGCCGCCGGAGAGCAGGGAGGGCCCTACCGGGTTCTGGACATCGGCTGTGGGAGTGGAGCCATCTCCCTCGCGATCCTGAGCGCCTCTCCCTTGGTACCTGTGGCCAGCACTACGGGGTGGGGCGGTGGTACGGGGGAATCACAGAGACGAGGGGCTTTCTGAGTAGGGTATTTTGAAATAAAAAAAGCTATTCCAGGGGGCTTAGGTGGCTCAGGAGTTTGAGAGCACTGAGCCAGCATCACCGCTGATGAGGTCCTGGTTTCAAATTCCTGCTGTGGCGAGTTGACGATCTCAGCCTGCGAACGAATAACTTCACCCAAACACATCCTCACCGTCATATGAAATGCTTATTTTCACTTCATTTGGCTACATTATGCCTGTCATACGATACACATTTATCGGTGAATCGGTCAGTTTATTCATGGTAAGGCCCATGGAGCTAAGAAGCTCTTTGTCAGTGGTGACCCGGCCAAATCATCGGACACAGCAGCACGCGTTTTCTCCGGTGGCATGTGAAGGCGTGCCCCCGGCGCGTGGATTAAAAAAAAAGTCACTTGAATGGATCTCAGGAGTAGTTCTGTGAACCTTCCTTCCACGGACCGTCGTCCAACACATGGCTGATGCACTGCTGCCCGGGAGACTTCCGAGTGGACACCTCGTCGCATGACGCCTGTAGCGCAGTTCGAATTAATATTGGCAGCAAATAAAAACTAAACAAAAGTAACGTTAAATCGTTGCTCGAATGTCTTAAACTGCCGTGTAAATTCGTACGGTTATAATAAATGAGCCTGATTTAAACGGACACTGAGCAAATCAAAGGCGAAACAATTACATTAATAAATAACATTCTTTCATATTTTCTAATGTTTTATTTTTTTTACAATGGATTATAATCGCTAACGATAGTCAGGCACTACTTTACAAGCCATCTCTGAGAGAAGCCAGCGATGTTAAAAACATTTCTATTTAAGAAGGCTTTCACCTCATTCTATCTTCAGGATCTTGCTCTCCTTTCACTATAATTATTTTTAGACAGTTTACTTGATAAGTTTTTATGCTTATTGTTTTTGTTGCATTTGTGTGTATATTGTGTACAGCGCTGTGTGATCCATGGATAAAGCGCGCTATAGAAGTCTAATTTATTATCATTGTTAATGACAAACGTGGTGATTTTCTTGTTAGTTTGTGCTCGTATATCACTGCCAACTAAAGTCCCTGAATTGTTTTTTTTACCCGAAATTAAACAATGGGTGTAATAAATTTCGATTTAAATCTTTCGTGACTGCAGGGATTCATCTTCTTGGTTCTTTCGGTAAAGTCACGTAGAAGGGAAATAATAATAAAAATAAAACATATTGTAAAACATAATGTTTTATTTTTATTATTTTATCATTTCCCTTCTACGTGACTTTACTGAAAGAACCAAGAAAATGGGTGTAATCGTTCACTTCAGTTGAAGAATAGGCGCTCATCGCGAAAGATATCAAATTAAAAAAACCCCACGAAAAATAATTCGGCACCAATCATTCCATAATGGCATTTCAGCACCAGTAATCGTTTGCAATAATGAGAAGCGAAAAATAATATTCTTTCATTTCCTTGCCATGATTGAGCTCTTGTACAAATGAAAATACGGCTGATTAATGCGTTCTTTTATCAAGGAAGCCGCGGGTAGAAATACAGTCCAAACAATCCGGCGGTGATTAGGAGGTTCATGTTGGGGTCATCGACGCCTGGCGCAGATTTTGGCGCTAATTCTGCCATCAAGGTGGCCTCGTTAATCTTCATTTGGGGCGGCGTTCGGGCGTCGCGCGTGGCCCTTAATTTATCCGCCGAACCTCGGAGATTTCCCTGACCTCGCCTGGTGGCGGAGAGGAGTTAAGCCAGCGACCGACATCCGAGGCGGACGAGAAGGCGAGGTGGGAGAGGAGAACTTTGAAATGAAACGCCTTGTTTTAAAACAAGGTCACGGAGCAATCGAGCGTGTCTTCCAGACGCGCGTTTGTCCTCGGAAGTGTTTCATTATTCAATTAAGCGGTACGCAAGCCGATCTCCACTTGTTCGCCATCGTTGTCAACACAGGCCTGGAATCTTCTCCAGGTGGTCTCCACAGCCCGGAGGCAGCAGCACATTTCTTGTGGTGTTGTTGCGCATTCTCGAAAGTGTTCACATTTTTTTGAAGCACCCTGAAAATGTATTTTTATCCTGACGTCGCGTGCGCGACAGGCGAGCTGCGTCGCCGTCGACAAGAGTGCGGACGCCGTGGCCCTCGCTCGAGAAAACGCCGAAGAGTTGAGTGAGCCGACGATCGTCGGCGCGCCTCCCACCCTGTGTCTACCAGGCCCCTCACCTCGCACCGTCCACCCCCTAGCGTCCACCTCCCGCTCCACCCCCCCAGCGTCCACCAGGCCGTCTTGCCCGTGACAGTTCTCGCTGGCGGTGCAACGGTGAGCGCGCCGAACTTGCAGTCACGGAGGTCGCCGGTTCGATTCCAGTCTCCCGGCTGAGACGGTTGAAACGATGGGGGGAAAGTTTATTTGCGGGACTCGGCATTGTTAGGTTATTGTTTTTTTGTGCCTTTGTTTTACGTTGTGCGTTTGTGTTTGCGGGGCGCAAAAATAGGCATGCAAATAGCGATACAAGCTGTAAACAGGGAAATAACGGGTCGGGGGTTTATATTGGATAACGCTAGCAGGGCCTCTATTGGGAAATCGTGGACAGACCCGGGCGCACTCTCAACCCCTGAAATTAGCACGGCGAACTGAGGATACCGTGGACGTGCAGCATGTGCTCCCCTGCCAGCTATGTTTTAACTTTTTTTTATTTCGTTTGCTCCCTTTGCGCAGCTTGAGTCTCCAAGACAGATGCAGCGTCGTGCAGTTGGACATCACCGCCGGTACGACCGCGGTGCGATTCGCGGGGGTCAAGAGAGCCGCACGCGTGACGTTGCCAGCGGTGCCTGTCCGTCGTTTACTCGTGCTCGCAGGTTCTCCTGGGGCCTTGTGCTGTTTTGCGAGCTCCTATTTCTTTTTTTTATGGCTCACGTAAATGCACCAAGGGGTCATTGTAACCATCAGCAGCACCGCAAAAAAATAACCATCCATTTCCCAGAAATTTGTCTTCATTCAATCGTATTATTATAAGAATAGTTATGGTATACATTTCAGTTTGCCTCATCATACATTTGTATCACTGTCAAATATATTATTCAGCTGTAAGGCGTTTTATGCCTGTTTGAGTGTGGCAGCACTCACCTGTTGTCGGCCAGTTCTGGAAATTCCACATTGCCATGGACAGGGCCCAGCCTCTGCTCAAGACAACCGCCGTGGCGAACTTACCGCAAAGGCCTGTGCTCATTTAATCTACCAAAGAAATTACGTTTCGCTGATTTGACCTCCGATTGGCATTCGAACTTACGACCTTGTGATCGATTGAGCCGGGCGGAGGTAGCTACTCGCGCCTGTTGATCCAGCACTGTGGAGGCGAGGGCTGTTGGATCACGCAAATGTTGCACGGAATGCGGTAGGCTCCGTCTGTTCCACCTGTATGGGATGGAGTGTTTCCCTCTCGCACCCGTGGGTCTTCTCTGGGTGCTCCGGTTTGAATTGGCCGCGCAGCTCACGCCACCGAGGCCGTGGGAGCGCTGGGCCCGTTCGACGTCCTCGTCAGCAATCCCCCCTACGTGTTCACCGGCGACATGGCCGCCCTGCAGCCCGAGATACGCAGGTGACTCCACCGCGCCAAGCGCAGCAACGGGTGCAGCGCCGGGAGGGCTAAAACACGGCGAGTTGGCACAGTAGGGGGCCACGGATGGTGCATCTGCTGGTGATCTCAGGCGACCCGTGGCACCTGGGTCCGTCCCGTGACCGACCTCCTGTCAACGGCGAGCTGTCGACACGTCTCGCGGCCTTAAAGTGCACATAGCCTGGCACGAGCGCCGCGGTAACGTCACCGCCACTCGGTGGCGAACGGCAGTTGTTGTTGTTGACCGATAAGGTCACCCCGGTTGTGCCCGATCTCGACGAAGCTCGCAAAGCTAAGCAGGTACTTGAGTCTCGTTAGTGCTCGGGATGGAAGATGGAATAGTGAGAATATACAGTGTCGGCACTTTCAACATTATGCTCCCCACGGAATCGCCAAACCACACTGGCGATCGTGACCCCCGTGACGCGCACGATGTGGGGAGTCGCTCGTCCAGCAGTGGATTGACAAAAGGGCTGTACGTGGACTTTATACTGTGGTGCCCCGGCGGCGAGATGTTATCTGCCTCGCCTGGCATGCAGGAGGTCGTGGGTTCAATCCTGACCCTGACGCCTGTTGTATATTTGGAGTTTGCGTGTTCTCCCCATGGTCGCGTGGATTTTTCTCTGGGTCCTCCGGTTTTTCCCTCATTTAGAATCGTGCATGTAGAGTATTTGGCTGCTACAAATGTCCATACGAGAAGCAACTTGGTTGAGCTGTCATTTGTGGCGAAGTCGCTTTTGGAAAAGAGCTACGTAGCTCAGTGGGCCTTACCTGGTAAGATAATAATACCTTTTAAATAGTTTAGGAGCGCTTATACACGTCCACAACATTCTTTCCACGTGCTCTTCTAAACTTCCAAATCTATATTACCCTGTCCTTTGGGGATTGAGAGTCAAGCGGAAACACGGGGGGAGTGGCGGGGGGTGGGCGGGGGTGGGCGGGGGTGGGGGAATATCGTAGAGGATAAAACCGAGGTGGAGGAGAGAAAGACAACGAATTCGGATGGAGAGAACCGTCAGCGGGGAGAAGGGAAAAATGTTTAAAGGCGTGGACTTCACCAGCCCCGCGGAATCGCCGTGACATTTGCCAGAGCACGTTTCGTCCGATTCAATTCCGCACTGCGCACTCGGAATATGCAACCGAAAATATTTGCTCCGCGTTTTTTTATGCGATGCTTCCCATTTTGACATTTTTTTTACGCGGCGGGATTTGTCCAGTTTGCCCCGTTATTTATTTACAGCTTTGCAAACCCGTGGGGGCTTTTAGGGGCAGGAAAATCAACCGTCGGCTCTGCGCGGACCCGGCTCAGTGGCGAATCCTCACGATCTTTTGGTCGGACCAGCCTCCCGAAATAACGAGCCATGCCAAAACAAATAACAACGTCGTTAGCGGCCTCGTATGCTTTTTCTTTTTTAAACTGAATTCATTCCGCTGTTGTCGTGTTTTTATATATTTTTTCCCCCCGGCAGTTTCGAGGATCCGGCTGCTTTGCACGGCGGTGAAGACGGAATGGACTTAATCAAAGTTGTCCTCACTCTGGCCGCGGAGGTCGTGAAGGATAATGGGTCTGTATCCCACGCGCACGGCACCCCGTAATTGACTGTTAGCGCGCCCGTTGCGTCGCATTGTCGCTCGTGGCGACCCGCCTGATTGCCTGAGCTGTACGGCTTCAGGCGTTCGGCCACCCGCCTTCTATTCCTGGCCATGACAAAGATCACTGCCCCGTTTCCCGGAAGTTCCCGCAATGAGCCTCTACCCTAGGTCGACTCAACCTTTAATTGAGCACGGAGCGCTCGGCGAGACGTTGGCTGGCCCACACCTGTCAATCCATTACGGTTTACTCCGTATTCTTGTAGAGGGAAATTCAGTTTTCAGGTCCATACCATACCAGCGTACACCCGTTTCAACACGGGCAAAAAAAATGTTTTGCCTATTTGTTTGTGTTTCTCCCTTGTGATGGGACTTTGTAGGATGAACGTTAAGATTTATAAGGGCACGGTGTGACCAATAAGGTCTGACTTGGTCTGTAATAAGGTAGGGCACTGATAAGGGGTTGACAGGTATGGCTGGCCCCAGCTGCCGCTTTGCATGACATGGTCCACTCACTCAGGCGAAGAAAAGATGGCCTTTGGCTTCATTACCGGTGTACCCCCGATATGCAGGGCGCCACAGTGGCGACATGTTAACTACCTCACCTGGTATGCAGGAGGTCGTGGATTCAATCCCAACCCTGTCTTGTGGATATTTTTCCCCGGGTCATCCAGTTTTTCCCTCCACATTTAAAATCGTGCGTTCAGAGAATTTGGCCGCTGTCAATTTTCACACGATAAGCCACTTCGTTGAGCTACCATTTGTGGCCAGGTCGCTTCTTAAAAAGAGCCGAATAGCCCAGTGGGCCTTACCTGGTAAAATTAAATAAGATTATTCGACTTGCGACTCTTCGTTCTTGCGTTCGTCATAAAGTCACGTAGTTTTTTTCAGTTTGCATCGGGTTAGTTTCGTTGTTACGTTTGATGACCCTACAGGGGGAAGCAGACGCTCCGACTGCCCCTCCCCTCCACCCCTCCCCCCCTCCTTACACCTCGCCATCGCTTCCTCCTTGCTGCCTGATCTCGAAGTCATTGTGAACTCGGCACACGACCTCTGTCCACTCTTAGAGTCTCACCATCATCACCGTCATTACCACCGTCTGGGTTCAGCTCTTCCTCGTCTCGGTCACCTGTCTTGGTGACCTGTGTTGGTGACCTGTGACCTGTGATAGTGACCTGTGATGGTGACCTGTGATAGTGACCTGTGTTGGTGACCTGTGATGGTGACCTGTGATGGTGACCTGTGATAGTGACCTGTGTTGGTGACCTGTGATGGTGACCTGTGATGGTGACCTGTGATAGTGACCTGTGTTGGTGACCTGCGTTGGTGACCTGTGATGGTGACCTGTGATGGTGACCTGTGATGGTGACCTGTGATAGTGACCTGTGTTGGTGACCTGTGTTGGTGACCTGTGATAGTGACCTGTGACCTGTGATAGTGACCTGTGATGGTGACCTGTGATAGTGACCTGTGATGGTGACCTGTGATAGTGACCTGTGATGGTGACCTGTGACCTGTGATAGTGACCTGTGATAGTGACCTGTGATAGTGACCTGTGGTGGTGACCTGTGATAGTGACCTGTGTTGGTGACCTGTGATAGTGACCTGTGTTGGTGACCTGTGACCTGTGGTGGTGACCTGTGTGGTGACCTGTGTTGGTGACCTGTGTTGGTGACCTGTGATAGTGACCTGTGTTGGTGACCTGTGATAGTGACCTGTGTTGGTGACCTGTGATAGTGACCTGTGTTGGTGACCTGTGTTGGTGACCTGTGACCTGTGTTGGTGACCTGTGATAGTGACCTGTGTTGGTGACCTGTGATAGTGACCTGTGTTGGTGACCTGTGACCTGTGATAGTGACCTGTGTTGGTGACCTGTGATAGTGACCTGTGTTGGTGACCTGTGATAGTGACCTGTGATAGTGACCTGTGACCTGTGTTGGTGACCTGTGATAGTGACCTGTGTTGGTGACCTGTGATAGTGACCTGTGTTGGTGACCTGTGACCTGTGATAGTGACCTGTGTTGGTGACCTGTGATAGTGACCTGTGATAGTGACCTGTGATAGTGACCTGTGTTGGTGACATGTGACCTGTGTTGGTGACCTGTGTTGGTGACCTGTGACCTGTGATAGTGACCTGTGTTGGTGACCTGTGATAGTGACCTGTGTTGGTGACCTGTGATAGTGACCTGTGTTGGTGACCTGTGTTGGTCACCTGTGTTGGTGACCTGTGACCTGTGTTGGTGACCTGTGTTGATGACCTGTCTCAGTGACCTGTCCATGACGATGATCATCTTCATCTTTGACATCGTCACTATCATAACCATGATCATAATCACCTTCGTCATCACCGCGATGACGATCGTTATCATTGTCACCGTCACCATCATCATCAGCAGCAAGTTTTAGGTCCTTGAGTTCCTGTATTACAGCCAATACGTCAAAATTACTTTTAGATTCTAAATTAATCGTCCCAGTGTAGCCATGGATATCACGCTCTCCCATGCGCAGGAGATGCCGAATCCCACTGAGCCCTGGCCTAGGTGATTATTACGTATTTATTTTACTAGTTAAGCCCCCACTGGGCTAAATCGGTCTTTTTCAGAAGCATCCTAGCCCCAAATGATAGTTCAATGAATTTGCTTATCATCACGTGTGGAAATGTATAGCAGGCGTCAGGTGTTTTCAGGATCAAACCCACGACCTCCTGTACACCGGGCAAGGTAGTTAACATCCCGGAATCATGATGATGATAATGAAAGAGACAAGCACCGTGATGATGATTATGCGAGAGAAATCCACGCGACCACGGGGAGAACATGCAAACTCAATATACAGCAGGCGTCAGGGTCGGGATCGAACCCACGACCTCCTGTATACCAGGCGAGGTAGTTAACATTTCGGCGCCGTGGCGAGATCCGGAGGAAGTGAGGTCGGCGCTTGGTGCGAGGCTCGAGACTCCGGAGAGCATGGCTCTCTCGCTCAGCTTTGGCTTCTCCGCTGTTGTTCGCTGTAGAAGTAAAGACAACAAACCTCTGCTTTGGTTTTGAGTGATTTACCCACGAGGATCACCAGGGGGCAGTCCTTCGCGGCCGTCTTGAGACTGAGTCCCATTGACTCGTCAGTGAGGGAGCTCGGCGGGCGTAAATATAAAAATAAGGATGAAATTTAAAGAAAACCTGATTTTAAAACAAAATCGGCGACCGAGGAAAGAGCCCACGGTCACCTCGAGACGTTCGCCGGCATCGCTCTCGCGAGCTGTCGCTCTCCGGATGAAGGTGTGCCCGATTTTTTCCGTCGTTGTCATCGCATCTTATTTTACCGCCCTGAAATTTGAAACCCAATGAACCGAATACTTACCTTACGTACGGTAATCCCATTTTAACAAAACCACAAACGCCGTTTTGCATATATATTTTTTTCACTACCATGCATATATTCAAATTCTGGCAGGAGTGACCCAACGGTTGTTATTTTTTTATATGTGAGGTATGTGAATTTGGAATCATTTTTAATTCCCGGCTGGCTAACCTTGGACGAACATAGCGAGAAAAATCCATTAACGGCGCTGAAAGTGTTGTTTGTTCGCCGTCCTTTAAAGCGTTCGACAATAAGACAAGGGGCGGGGGCAGGGGGGGCGGTCAGAACGCGGGAGGGGAGAAAGAGAAAAAAAATTCGGCGAACTCGATGACCCGTCGCTGGGTTTAAAAAAAAAATCCATACAGTGTTTGCGAAACGGCGTGCGTGCTGCGCGGGTAATTGATTGACGTTCATACTCCTGTCCGCAGCACCGGGGCGGAACCTCGCCGGTTGGGGGAGACAGTTCTCCTAATTACGTCCGCGAAGGAGCGAGTAATTTCTGGCCGTGCGGCAGTGGCGGCGCCAAAAATGAAAACTACTAAAATTAAATTGACTTGTTGCTGCGCTCGCTCGCACCGGCGAGGAAGAGGTAAACAAAATCGATTATCCGCGGTGGCGGCGGCGGCGGCTGTGGCTACGGCTGTGCCGTCGAACTCGCCGGCCAGTCTTGCGGGGGGGCGGACGGGCGGGCGGGCGCAAGTACGAGCGCGAGCGGGCGTTGATTGCGGCGTTGCCTGGCTCTCCGGCGCCGCGCTCTCGTCGTCGCCGGCGTCGCAGCCCCCGACGGCAGCGCTCCACAGTTGCCAGTTCCAGGAAACGGCGCACTGAAGGGCATTCCTGGAAGCGTTGAATGCGGCGCTTTGATGATAGTAAAGGGGAGGCAGATGAACCCGGAGAAAAAGAGGAGAGTCACCGCTTTCATGAGGCTCCAGGAAATGTCAGGAGCCTTGCAGGAACAGCGCGAGTAATTAGAGAATCGGGCAAATATTTTATATATATTTATATGTTATATAATCGAGAGCGAGAGAGGGTTTTGTTTTTGTAAGCGCTTGTTTTGCCCAGCTGCCTGGGATAATCTGAATTCCGCGAATTTTGCCCACCGCTCGAAATTCGCTTTTCGGATGCGCAGATAGGAGGCGGCCCTACTCCAGCCAATGAGGGGGGGGGGGGGGGTGGGAGCGGTGAAGGGGGGGGGGGGTGCCGCGACACGTTAAACGCGGCGCGATCCGTGCCCCGTCTACCAGGGAGTTGCTCGCGTCTTGTTGCGGCCGTCGTGCGGCCCTATTCGTTGCCGCCATTGGCACGCTCGCGTCCCGTTTCTCGCTACCGCTGCTGCTGCTGCTGCTGCCGCTGCCGCTGCTGCTGCTACGTGCGCACGGAGTGTTTCTGTGTCACCTGGCGCGCTGCCCAGTAGGGTAATAACGTCGACTTGCGCAGATTAGTGCGGGGACAGTAATGAGGTCAGTGTAAAAGGGGCTGGGGTTTTTTTTTCCCCGCTTTTCTTTTTTACAATGATAACAATTTTAAAAAATATATATATAATCACTGGCGTTATTAATGCAAGCGGAAGGTGATTTACAGACAGCGAGAGGTGCGATCGTGTGGCCGGAGCATCGTTTCTCCCATCACGCCTTGCGCATCACGTCACAGCACCGCGCCATGTACACACAGTCCTTGTTTTAGGCGGAGAACCCGCGCCTCTGGTCACAACCACCCCGTTTGCCATCGACAAATCACCGTCTTGTGTGTCGTAGTGTTAAATATACTCTCTTTTTTTTTAAGCCAGCGCACGCACTTTTCTGCCCAAATTAGCTATTCCCATAATTCCCGGAAAGTGTCTGAGAGATGGTTTATCGTCGCCCCGAGACGGTGCCAAAATGCCCTCCCTGTGACCAGGGAGGGCATGACCACATGAAGCCACCGAGTCACAAGCTGGCAGCGGCAGCAACAGGAAACGATGGCCGTACTCAACCGGTGATTCCTAAATGAGGACGAGACCCCTGCCACTCGTATGAAATCATAACAGCCGCGGTTTTGAACGGCGGTGGGCGGGGGTGGGGGTGAAACCCAGAATATTAACCCAGGAGGATCCCGACGGTGCCGCCGTCTCGGTGCTCTGACCCCTGAGCCACCCCCGGCCACCTCCCAACAGGCACGGGGGGTTTGGATACCCAATTGCTGATGATGTGCACAGGCAGGCGGTAAAACCTGGGTCAACCGGGATCGTAGCGCGGGGGCGGGGGACCCTCTGAGCCACCGCGGCTGGCGAGCGCAGAGCGTCGTGGCGTGTTGTGGTGCGGGAGTGACTTTGCCGCGGCCGTGCGGTTTTTTGAGGCACGGAACGCGGCAGACCGCCGAGCTCGGTTCCACGCTTGACCGGGGAAATGTCGCTTGGAGACCCCCAGACGCCGAAGCCGCCGCTGCCGCCGACGCCGCTGCCTCCCCGCGTTCAAATTATCTGGCGAGAGGCCAGATAATTTGAACGGTCTGTGGCAACAGCGATAGGAAACTGAAAATGGCAGCGATTTTTTTTGTTCAACGGCAGCAAAAAAAAGAAAACAACAATTGGCTCAGACCCCAGAAGTGTGCGTCTGGAGAGGACGGGGGGGGGGGGCATGGGTCAAATGCCGCTCGTATTCTAATCGCAAGAACGGTCGCCCACTCGCCCCCCCTCTCGCTGCACCCCCACCCCTCGCTCCCCCCCCCCCTCCTCCCGCTGCCCCCCTTGGCTCCCCCCACCACCCCGCCGCCCTGCCGGGTGGATGTGAGCGCCCCCTTCGCCCTGCCCTTTCCCCGGCCACAACTCGATACGAATCTCCACTCCCCGGGCGCGCCGCTCTGAGATCACAAAGCCAGGCCTCTTATCCAGCTTTATATCAACTTTGTAGTAAATAACAGGTTAATTACGAATAATAACAGGGGTTTTTTTTGTTTTGCTGTCACTGGGAGGAACGGGAGGATTTCTTTGGCCGAAAAGCCGCCATCCTTGCCAAACGGCGAGAAACAAAAAACAACCCCCCCCCCGTGTTATTTACAATTAACCTTTGCGATCGTCACGCGAGCTCACCGACACCGCAGCCTCGAGCACCCGCATCACGAGGTAACTAAATAAACACATCGGCCGGGACCTCGGCGGCGATCCCCAACGAAGGCATAATTTTCCGCGCGCGTTATAATTTTTTAATGCCATGCGAAGGGGGGACTTCCATTCGCCCCACAGCAAGAACGATAGAAGAGCGGCAGGCCGCCTTTGCTGTGTTAATAAAAATGTATATATATATATATAAAAATAAAAAAATCCCCTCCGGTGGAAACGCGGTCATGAATACGAATGGACGTGCCGCACCTCGCAAAGCAGGCGCGATATAAATAATAAAAAGGGACCTCGCCGGCGAACGTGTGCGTGTGTGTGTTTCTCGCTGTCTCTTGCCGCCAACCAGACTGGTGTGGCTGGAAACGGAGCCCAGGCACCCGGCCATGATCCGCAAGTGGCTGCAGCAGCAGCAGCTTGCGCTGGAGTTTGTCGAGACGCGCCGCGACTTCCTCGGACAGTGAGCTCGCTTGCCCCCCCCCCACCCCCCACTCCGGCCGGCACACTCTGCGCTCGTGCGCGACGTTAAACCACAACGACGGGCGCCGACAGCAGCCGATGTTTTCGTTTCGAGTGAAATCCTCCGGCGGGAGCGGGAGGCCGGCTGGCCAGTGGGCCGGCCGGGCGGCTCAGGAGCCGGAGCACCGGCTGAGAACCCCCCAGACCGTGCTCCTCGTGCGTCGTGAGATGTTGGGCACCAGCCTGGGCCGCTAGAAACTTGCTTGCAAAAAAAAAATTCGTGATAATTCGGTTCCCCGCTTGGTGTAGGAAAATTCCAGCTCTGAGAGAGTAAAAATTCGTCACTTTTGCCATGACGATTGAATATTCCTCCGCAGCAGGATGTGCGGAAGAGTGCGCCATCACCTAGCGTGCGAATAAGGTCACTTTGAACGGACGTCAAAAGTACTTCTCCGAAATCTCGTTTAGCAGGGCCGTTTGCTGTCACGGAATTGAATCGCCATGTGACCGCGTGAGAGCTCTGGATAGGCGATTCGTCTTGTGGGCACCAATTGGCAAAATCGAAAAGGGCAACGCGTGCAAGAGACAATTTCTTTCGCGCAAAATCAAAAATCTTCCAGCCCAAAAAAATGTAATTCGGGGTCCTCCTCTCACAGTGCAAAAGGCATGGGTTCAAGTCCTAGTCGTGGGTCCGCCCAGACAATTCATCATCGTGTGGTCGTTCTACAAACAGAATGTGGGGCCACTATGACTTTATTTAACTTTTTATGCCATCAAGGGCATAGCAGCGATTCTTTTTAAAGGGCAGCGCAAGCGGGTGATGTCTCCAGCTCTCACACACGCACACGCACACACACGCACACACGTGCACACATGCACACACACGCGCACACACACGTACACATACACACGCACACAAACACGCACACACATACGCACACACACGCACACACGCACACACGCGCACACGCACACGCGCACACGCGCACACACGCACACAAGCACGCACACGCGCACACACGCACACGCGCACACGCACACACGCACACACGCACACGCACACACGCACACACACGCGCGCACACACGCGCACACACATGCACACACGCACACACACACGCGCGCACACACACGCGCACACACGCACACACACGCGCACACACGCACATGCACACACACACACACACGCACACACGCAGTGTTACCTTGTCAAAACAAAGCGTGCTTATAACGATGCCCCCCGTTTTTTAATGAGCATAGCAGCAGCGACGCGTTCTCCTATGTTGATCTGACTGCCGTATCACTGACCCCCCCCCCTTGCGCCATGACGTTGTCGTGCCGTTTGACCGTAGCTCACTGGTCGTCACGGGTCGGTGAAGGACTGGAGGAGTGTAGCCGTGGGGAACATAGAAGTGCGGTACGACATGCATTCTGCTGCACCTAAACTAAACTTTTATCTTACCATGTGAGGCCCACTGAGCTATGCAGCTCTTTTTCAGAAGCGACTAAGTGGCTTATCGTCACGTGGAAATTTATCGCAGCCAAATGCTCTAAATGCGTGACGTTGATTCTAAATGTCGAGGGAAAACCCGGAGGACCTGGAGAAAAATCGCGCCAGCAGATTGCAAATATACAGCAGGCATTGCCAGGGTCGGGATTGAACCCACGACCTCCTGTACACTAGGCGAGGTGGTTAACATCTCGGCACCGTGGTGCTCCCAAAGACGCAGACCCCGCAGCAGCCTATAGAAATTGTTTTGTGGCACCTGGTAGGGGCCCATCCAAGCGCTATCCGGGCTCAAACCCTGCTTAGCGCCCGAGATCTGGTGAGGTCGGGCGCGTTTCCGGGCGATTTGGGTCACGGTGTTGCTGTTTATGGCTGCGCAATTGATTTTCTTCATCAAATTGGCTTCGAAAGGTAAGAGGAGCTTGTTCAAAATAACCATTTGGCAGGGCACAGTTCGGCTCGCGATATTGATATCTCAATATCCCCCCCCCCCCTCAACCAGACGTTGGAAAGGAGCAGTCAATCATTAACGAGCCCCGAGGGCTGTTCCTGTATTAATTAAAGTCGTGTTGGTTTAGCCAGCACCCATTGCATCGGTGCGCTCTGAGCAGTGGTCTTCACCGCCGTCGCGCCTCTCTGCAACAGTGTCCCTGGTCCCCGCAGTGGCCGCCTTCCTGCTGTTGGCAGCCGACATGCTGTGGAAAGAAGGCAGTGGACGCCGTCGTCGTGATCACGTCCGCGCGTCCGTGTGTCCGTCCATCTGCCACCGTGCGTCCGTCCGTTTTGGTATCGGCGTGTTCGCGTGTCCCCGTGCGTCAAATCCGTTCGCATGACCACACGTCTGTCCATTTGTCGGTCCCTCCGTCTGTCCGTGTGTCCGTCCGTGTTGTTGGTCCCTCCGTGCATCTGCCGTGTGTCCCTCCGCATGTCGGCCCCTCCATGTGTCCGTCCGTGTATCTGTCCGCGTGTCGATCCCTCCGTGCGTCCGTCCGCGTGTCGGTCTCTCCCCACGTGTGTGTCCGTCCGTCGCCCGTCTGTCCGCGGCGTCTGCGCCGGCGCGCCGAGGCAGCTGTCCCCACGGGGCCTTTTTCACGTGGCACGGAACCAGAGAACGAACCGGAGGGGGGGGGGGGGTGGGACGGCTGGAGAACAGCCAACCGCTGCCTTGGGAAGATTTATGATTAATCATTATTTTGTGCCGGCGGTGTCTGCAGGCCAAGGTTCTGCGTACTGCGGAGGAAAGCGCGGGCGGGCGGGCGGCTGTCGGGGGCGACGCACGTCTGACGAACGGTTCCGCAGGGGGGCCCCGGCGGGGACAGATTCTCCACCGACGCAGAGCGGCCGAGCGAGCGGGCGGGGAGTTGCAGGAAGCGAGAGGGAAGCGTCCTCGCATCTCGGGAGAAGGGCCGGCACCCCCTCCCCGCCCCTCCGCACCCCACCTCAAAGCCTGAGCCGAGAGAACAAATATTTAAACAGCTCGGCAGGAGAAATAAACGAGTACACATCATCTCGCCGTGGGCGACCGAACGCCGCTGTGCTCGAGCGGAGCACATCACGCGCGGGTGACGACGACGCCGCCGCCCGTCGCCTGCCGGGAGAGACGCCGCGCCGCTGGCCACGACGGCCAACATCTCGCGGTTGGGACTCCCGCCGAGAGGAGAAGATTCCTTCCCCCGCCCGATAAACGTCCTGCACGCGCTCCTCGACGCGATACAAGGGCCATTCTGCGCCGACGCCGTGGGGCGGAGGAGGCCTGAAGCGTGTTCCAGCCCGACAGATTTTGTCCCCCCCCCCCCCCACCGTTTACTGGGAACGTTTAAAACATTTATAATTGAAGGAGAATAGCAGGGGCGTTCTCATAAACAATTTTACATCTTCACAGTGCACGCGCGCCAAAATTAGTGCCAAGTGTGTAACGTCTAATATTTTAAAATGAATCCTTCTTCCAGATGACAAGGCATTATTCCAGGAACTTTAAGCCACTGCAATTCAATAAATTAAAAATGTAAAAAAAAAACAGATATTGCATTCATTGCGTGCTTCAAGCCCTCTGCCAGTTTTCATTCTGGCAGTTTGGCAACGAATTCTGTTTGGCTTTTACGAGCTCGTGAAACGAGTCGGTGGAGCGGAGGGGTAAGCGACGGCGGCCCCGCTGCAGAATCCTTCCCACCCACACCCCCCACGCCCCACACGCCCCCCCCCGCAACCTCCAGGCTTTCCGAGAAAGCGACCATAAAACTGGCGTCTGATGCCGTTCCTGGAAAATCGCAGTAGGGCGCTGTCCGTGGTAGGCCTGTGACTTGCAGTTGGTGCTTAGTGCGTGCACGCGTGTGTGCGTGCGATTGTGGGTGCGTGTGAGTAGGTGTGTGCGTGTGCGCTTGCTTGTGTGTACCAAGTGTGCGTGTCCGAGCGTGCTCTTGTGTCCGTGCGTGTGACCGAGCGTGTTTCTGCGGGGTTTGCGTTCGTGCGGGTGTCCGTGCGAGTGTGCGTGTCTTTGAGCGTGCGCTTGTGTGTCGTGAGTTTGTGCGCGTGCGTGTGTTTGTGCGCGTGCGTGTGTTTGTGCAAGTGTGGGCGACGACATTTCTTGCGTGTTGTGTCTACGCGCGTGCGTGCTTGTGTTGGCACATGCGTCCGCACGCGCGCGCGCGCGCAGCATATGCTCGTGCGTCTTCGCGCACATGTGCGCCCGCGCGTACAGGCGCACGGGCGCTCGGCCGCCCGTATGTGCGTGAGACCGCGTCTGCGCGGGGCGGGCGGCTGAGACTCTGCGGGTTGGGTTGAAGCCAGGCCTGCAGTCTGATACCCCTGGCGACTGCCACAACCCTCCCAGGATTACAAACAAGCATTTTTTTTTTCACCTACCCAAATGCATTCTGCGCCGTAATTTACGGTAATATCCCATCCCGAGACAACACGGGGTGGCGGGAGGGGGGGCGTGCAGGAACCGCCCGACCTCCCAGAAGATTTTTGCTCACCGTAAAATACCTGCACGTCACGGCCACGTGGCTCTCGCTGCCGAGCCCACGTCTCCCACCCCGCGGAGCGGCACGTTTCTGCTGGAGTCCCAAATCCTAAAGGGCCTGCGATCAGGACCCCGCGGCGTTCTAGCGCCGCCGCCACCTCCGCGATCGATGTGTCTCTGTGCCTGGAAAGCCGAGCCCCACCCCCGTCCACCCCTGCCCGCCGTGTGCGTCACCGGCCAGAAGCCCCCCGCGCGGCCCGGCCGAGACAAGATTTGGAAGCGGCCCGTGCACCCTGTGCCAAACAATATGGCCGTTTTTGTCGGTTTTTAAGTGAAACCGAAAATGATCGTTAAAAGTAACAATAATCACAGTGGTTGGTGCCGTCGCGCGTTGTGGAGTTGAACACATTGCGAGCCGAGCGAATGGAATTTTTTTTTTTTAAGAAAGCGTTCGAGGCCTAGAAAGAAGAAAAAAACACCCCGCTAAACTTGTGGTTTAACCACATGGCGGTTGGGTCTGTGGCGCCATGAACGTGCCCTTTTTTTCTAGCGTGCTGGCGAGCGCGTTCGGTCTGGCCCTGGCTCTCAGAGAGCTAGTCCCACAGTAACACTCAATGCGGCGACGCCATTCGGTGCAGGGATTCCAACGGCAGTGCGTCAAAGTGTCTCCGGATGCTCAATTATGAAACGTTGTCTTTGGGGTCACGTCGAACTACGGACTCGTGGTGTGCATGAGACCTGTGGTCGTCTCGCTCAAGTGGAAACTTACTGCGGCACACATTCGAGAGGAGGGAAACTGACAAAAATAAATGGTAGGCGATTAAAACTTTGAAAAACAGAAACGGACTTGAAACTTAAAAGAAAACAATGGATTTCTCTTTGGCAAACTCGTCGTTCATCGGTGGGTTCCCATAGATTTGTGGAATTTCCACAACTGGTGCAGAGCTACAATCACGGCATTTCAAGTTGGCTTAGTTTTTTCTGCTCGGGAAAGTGCTGTTTGAGTCGGAGAGGATTTGGTAAATCAATAGGGTTAATACTTTTCTTTTTTTAAATACAGTATACATTAAAAAATTGTATCCCAACAAAATCCTAGACATGTATTTAATAAATTATAACAATAAAATTATAGATTACTCTCAACCCAATAGATGAAGGCTTTGCCATGGCCTTTTCAGTGCTGGGGTTTTATTTTTTATCATACTTCACGCTGGTGCGTGCGGGTTGGTGAATGCAGGGAGAGGAGGGCAGGGCTGGTTCCGATATCACTCGCCACTGCTGTTGGCCAAGGCTCGAATTGAACTTGAGGGGTCACCGGTGTGATAGCGCAGCGCGCTAACCGCTGCGCGGCCGCTCCACCCCACTCGAGGCGAGGGCATGCGTCAGCGCTTCTTTAATGATTATTATTTTGTTCTCAAAGTGCCTCCAGGACACGGCGATGATGAGAAGAAAATAGAAGTAATTATTTTTTTAATGCGTATGTGGAATAATTCTTCATACTTGTAATTGAAAAGCCAATGCATAATAATAATGTCCCTAGGAAGCAAAGCGATAATAATACCCCGCATTTCAACCTACGGTGCTGCGCAATTAGTAAACAGTGACCGATTACTTTGTTGCGAATCTTAACGTTCGCGTCGCCGACCGTTGACGTAGCAGAGGGCCTGTCGCAATCCTAGCGCTCGCCCTTTAAGCCGCTCGGGATGGATTGTGGAGAAACCCATGAGACCTGACGGTGGAATTTAAATGTCTATCTGGTGCGAGGGAGCGATGCGCCGTTGCTCGTGGCACAGACCGCTCACAACCGCCACGCAATAAACACTCCCGAGCTTAATAAAAATGGTTTTGCGTGACAGCATAATTGCGCGGGGTATTATTATTTTTTCTTAAAAGACAATTCCAAAAATAACTCTTCCGAAATTACTCCCAAGTTATTGGAAGAGCCACGAGCAGATTTAATGCGGCACTAGACAAAACAGCCCGTGTAATCCTTGATGGGATTTGTGCCAAGTTTTTCATGAAATTATTTATTTCGTCACACGTGCGGTGTATGCAACGCGCGCGCATCACCGAGTCCGATCCGTTCCATTATTTATGGATGGGAGGTCGGGGGACAACGTCGAGGCAGCCGTTGTGGCTTTCCGAGGGGAAAGAATTGCGAAGAATGCACGGCGCACGGGAAATGTGTTTTCTGCAGAAAAGGCACAAACAAAGAATGGAAACGACCATAAATCACGATAATGAATAATAACTAGAGCGGTGCAAATATTAACCCGGCGGCAGAAAACGATTTGATTTTCTTACCAAAATAAGTTGACGCGCGCGTGCGGAGACGGCGACAGAGCACGCGCGAAATATAAAAAATAAAAAGTAAAATGACGAGTCGGAAGCTTGCGGGATTTCCTCTGCGAGAGGAAGATATAAAATCTGGTCATGTTGGCCGAGGGCCTTGGCGAGGAGGGGAATGGGGTTGCACGCGATGCTTCACCTTGAGCCTGCACTCACCGCGTCGTTTGAGAGGGTAAAAGGCGCAGGCCCTGCAACAGTGTGCGTTGTTCACGCCGCTGCTGGTCGAAGGGCCTCCGCTTGAGGAAGGCTCTAGAGAGAGAGAGAGAAAAGCCCCCTTCTCGAATGGTTATTTGGTCTGCTCTTCCACACCGGCCGGACGTCTTGAAAGAGGTGCAAGTTGCCACACTTTACCCTCCCCCCCCCCCCCCCCACGGCATGCCACCTGCTGTCCGACTAACCCGTTTCTACGGCTGGGTGGACATGTGGGGCCAGGAGGTTTAAAGAAACTTGCCGCGCCGGGGAAGCGAATCAAACCGTCGCCCTCTGGATCGCCGGCGCGGGTGTGCTCACCGTTACGGCGCGACAGCAGCGTCTCGTTACGCTCCAGCAGCTGCTGATGAACAAAACAAAATAATCTACTCGTGTGACTATACTTCACCTCCCATACACTGGCTCCCTAACCAAAATCTCCCCGTGCCCACTGTCTCGGTAACGTAATGAGTGTTGGGCTAATGCAATCCCATCCCTTCTCTCGAGCGTTATTAAAACACTCTCCCTCTGAATTATATTCTTCACGAAGAGAAGCGAGAGCGCATGAACTGTCAAGATCATTTTCTCTCTCTGCGACAGTAAAAACGAAAACATTTGATTTCATATTTTTTGCCTCTGTGTGTTTTTACGAGTTTTTTTTTAACACACAATCCAACGGCTGCATGGCTTTCCGCGAATTGCATCTCATCGGCAGAATTTGTCCAATACAAGCAAACTGGAACCAGTTTCAACATTCAGTTTTATCACAAGCAGAGTCACAATAAGCAGAGACGATTCATCTCCAGACGTACGCTCGCTTACTTTGTAACTTATATCGTCCACGACGACGCCAGCCGGACTCTTTGGAAGCAACGGCGCGGAGAAGCGCGCGCACGATGTTTTATTGGCAAGGACCCTTGAAGGAGGCGTTATTTTGTTATTTTATAAGGTCAACGTGGCGGTTAAAATTAAATTAACCACTGTTGTGTTTGCACGTCCGTAATTAAGACCGCGGCGGGCGGCGTGACGGGAACGCGGTGCGGTGTGCGATGACGGGTTGATGCGAGGCCCCGTGGCGGCGGTGGTGGCGGCAGTGGCGGGAGCAATAAGAAGACCAGGGAGGGAAGAGCCCACGCGTGCTGACATTTCCGACCGTTTACCACGACAATGGGAAAGCGCTTCGGACGAGTCCAATTACACCGCGTACTTTGATTGGCAGCTAAAGCGCGAGCGATGGAATTTGGGACGTGACCTGGCAGCGCTGCTGCGAGCATGACAAACTCGGCAACGTCGAGGAGCAGGCTCCCCCATCACCCTGCGGGGTGGAGAGGGGTGGTGTCTGTGGAGCTGTAGAGATTGTGATGGGGCCCGCATGTTCATTCGCAATTGCTCCATATCTCGCACTCTCCCCCCCCCCCCCCCGCGCGAATGCAGAACGAGTCGAGTGAAATAGAAAATATATCCGCCGCGTGAACGATCATCCCGAGACAAAGAGTAAAAAGGTGCAGCCCTGAGAGCCACTTGTCCCACGTCACCGCTGGCAGGAGGACTTCCACTGGACGGAGTGCCAGAGAGCCTCTCGCCTGCGCACCATACTGGGACGCTGCCCCCGGTGTAACGGTTCGCGCACCGGACTTGCGATCCGAAGGTCGCCAGGTTCGATTGTACCCCCCGCCGCGTGACACTTGCAACAATGGCCAGAATTTTTTTAATTCCTTGAGGGTATTTGTTTTCTTTTTTTGTGTAATCTTAGTCTTTCACGCTGACCAGACATCCTTCAAAGGGGGTGGGAGTACCCACACTTCAGCCCCACAACGGTCCACCGAACTGGCGCCCTCGCCGCCTCGTTCACTCGCCGCCGATTGGTGGACAGAGGCGGTGAGGGCGGCAGTTTAAGAAACTCGCGCCGTTCTCGTTTCAGCTGCCGCGCCGGGAGAACGAGTCTCGCCGGCGACCTCCGCATGGCAACTCCAGCGGGGCCGATTGTTACACCGTGAAAACAAAACCACCGAGTTACCCCCAGGCTCCCGTCACCGCTGTGGATTGTGTCAACCGCAGCCGGCTATTGCTATTACTATTATTATTTAACTTGTGTTGTTTTGTTAATAGCTTCACATTGATTTGTTTCACACGCTCACCTCGCGTAGCCTTCCCAGACCAATCCGTGTGACAGATGACAGTCAAATTGGTACTTGTTGGATAGATGAGCCCATTTCTGTATCTTAAGCCACTTTGCCACTGCTGCTGGAAACCCAATCTGCCCCACAGTCACCCGCTGTGCTCAGACACTCGCACCGAGCCGCGGCCAGCATCTGGCAAATAACAATAAATCACGGTTATTTTGGGCCCGCATACAGTAAGCCCGTGGATGCCGCGCGGGGTGCAACGCTTTGCTTGCCGGACGTGCAAAGCGGAGGTCGCCGCTTCGATTGGGTTCGGAGTCAACGCGGGGTCACTTGGGAGTCGCGCGATTTTTACTCAAATCCAGGTCACGCCGCCCGCCCCGGCTGCCTCTGTCCACGGCCGCACGCGGCTGCCTCTCGTCCAGCGCCGTGGAGGCAGCTTGGGAGGGTCGGTGGATCGCCGCTCACACGGATGTTGTGAAACTCAACTTTCACTTGGGCGTTGAGGAGGTGCCCGCTCCCTGGCCGCCCGGGAGGAGTCGGTACAGCGAGTGGACTGATGGCCATCAGTGTTTTTTTTTTTCCAACTGTGCGGGGATAGAGCGTTGCCCCATCGCACGCGTGGGTTTTTGACACTGGGACGCTCTGGTTTCCTCCCACTTGTATAAACGCTCATCCGTCCCATCCCCCGCACCTCCGATTAGCCGCCGTTGGCTACGTACGGCGCGAAAGAAGTGCAACGCACGTGAGCAGTGTGCAGCAGTGCCAGGCCTCGCTGGACCCCCCCCCCCCCCCCAATCGACGGCGTCTGCGATCCGCAGCCCACGGTGACCGCGCTGCTGCTGCTGTACCGACGCGCAAACCTCGCGTCGCGATACGGCGAGTGCACTTTCACCGTGAGTCTCCGGCCCCTGGGACCTGGAACCAGTTACCGGCAGATGTTTTGGATCCAACCTTGAGTCTTAGCCAGCATTGCGACAGACGATGTTGTTCTAACGGGCTTCCTGTGTGTGTGTGTGTGCGATCGGTGCGGCGCATTCATGACGGACTGGCGCTCGGAGGGAGTGCACGATAACAAAGAAGCGTTCAGACTCATCCGAGCCTTATTTGACCGTCGTACTTTTAAACTAAAAACTAAGCTATGAAAAGTTGTTTTTATTTTAACCAAGTAAGGCCCCACTGAGCTTTGTAGCTCTGTTTCAGAAGCGACCTGGCCACAAATAACAGCTCCACCAAGTGGCTTATCACGTGGTCATTTATAGAAGCAGCCAAATGCTGGAAACGCATGACGTCGATTCTAAATGTGGAGGGGAAAACCGGAGGACCCGAAGGAAAAATCCACGTGACCACGGGGAGAGAAAGAGGCACGCAAACTCCAAATACACAGGCGTCGGGATCGAACCCAGGACCTCCTGCATACCAGGCGAGGCAGTTAACATCTCGCCACGCGAGTTTGGGAAGGTGGAGAGAGCTGAGACGTTAAGATCGTAGAAGTGCAGTACAACGGAATGGATGTTGCAGCTACTCCCCCCCCCCCCCCCCACCGCTGATAACGTAGCCCATGCAGCATCTGCAGCAGAGCCCCCTGGACGTGGAGGAGGAGGAGGGGGAAGAGGGAACTCCACTGAGGTCGTGGCGCTTTCTGTGCGGCTGACGGGGACGCAGAGACCACGTCGTGAACGCAGACGTCTGCTTCGTTACGACGCGGGGCAGTTTGTGGGTGTCGGCGCGTTTGGCTTTCTTCGACAGGCAAAATAATTTGAAAGAGTGTTTTCTTCTCACTCCAGGGCGGTAATTGTATTGATAATAATTTTGCCCCATTATTTTACCCAGAAAAGCCCTCAATGAGTCTCAAGGTTATCTGTCAGGAGGAACCTGCATTTGGATGTTTGGCCAATTCCATGAATCCCATTAATGTTGCGTTGGGCGCAGCAAGGCATACGTTCATTCTTTATTATTCTGACGGCGCACGCAAATAATGTTGCGTCCATCGTAAGAATAAGCTTTTGCCATTCGTACACTCCAGCCGGTTCCACCTCCAGGCGCGGCAGTTGAAGCAAGGGAGCATGCTTCTTAAATCCTCCTCGCACCTCTGTCCACCCCCAACAGGCTCAATGTGCACACCGCACGCCGAGTTGATCGGGAGGTCGCGTGTGGCGGGGTCAAGTGTGGGTAACCTCTTTCAAGACGTCTCGCCAACGTCGAAGAGTGTAGGCCCTTCCACAGCAGTGGCGCGGCAAGGTAACTGCGGGTCTGCGCCTTTACCCTCAGTGGCTTCGGGGACAGCCCTGAATCCGTGGTGCAGGATTCACACTCGTTCGTAAGAACCCACCCGCCGTTAACTTCGGCCGTCGTATAATTATCAGAAGCCGACTGAACGAGATTTGTCGAGACGACCGCTGACCGCAATGTGAACTCGTGACCTTCCGAGAAGTGGAACGGGAGCTCTGACCCCACTCGCTACCTCCAAATACAGCGGCGGGGGCAGCCACACAACGGCCTTCCATCAATCTCGGCGGATATCCAGCCAACGCCGCGATATTACATGTCCGGGGACTTGTCTCGCATGCTCCATATAAAATTATCAATATCAGCCCACGATGGGGGTGGGGGGGGGGGGGGTGCTTCCTGTGTTAGAGACCATGTGGCTTTTGGCCACTGTTAGGACGCTCCGGGGGGGGGGGGGGGTGTTGGGGAGGGGGTCGGGGCGCTCATTAAATTCCTCTGTTGCCTCTACCCCCACCGACCGTCAGGACATGGAATGCGTCGTTAGTGATCTCCACAAAAGCGTGATCTAAGCGCGTAACTTTGTTGTTTTTTGTGTCTGTGTGTGTGCACGCGCGCGCACGTGTGTGTCTGTTTTACTGGGAACGGCGATTCTGAAAAGCGCAACGTGGACGACGATTCGCGGTGCGTCGCGGAGTCCGCCGCAGATGTCTCGCGGGGGGCCAGAGGGGGGGGGGGGGGCCTGGCGATGGTGGCGAGAGGATGGACGCCCTCGCGGCCCGGCTCACATTTTCGTTGAGAACAAAAAAAAACCTCGATTTCAGACGCGTGCCCATCCCATGGACGTGACGTCGTGCCGGGCTTCTGAAAAATCTCCATCGGGGGGAGACGCGGGCGGCGGGGCGGCGGGGGGGGTTTGCACGTTTCGACGCTGCGTTCTGTCCGAGCGCAGCGTAGGAGTGCGAGCCCCGACGCAGTCCAGTCGACGGCGCCGTGGCCGCGCCGCCGTCGCTGCTGCTGCTGCTGCTGCGGCGGCGGCGGCGGCGCTTGTACCCAAGCGTTGTGCGGCGATATGCCCGGGGGTTCCAGCAGCGGACGTGCGCAACAGGGGCCAGGACGTGCAAGCCGCACTGCCGCACCACGCCATTTCAGGCGTGCAGTTACTTTAACGTCTCCTCCGATATGTTTTTTTTTCTTCCCGAGATTGTTTGGCAGGAGGTCTGACGTATTTGTCAAACACTCCTCCATGACCGAGAGCGAAACGTCGGACATCACGCCGAACGCGATGTTGTGTTCAGTTTGCCTTCCTTGCCCCACGCGCTGCGAGCTTTCAAGCTCCCCGCATGCGGAGTGAAAACGTGAGATAGACGTCGTCCGGAAAACGTCAGATGGACATCGTACAAAAAACAGAGAGTGAATTGCACCGATATTATGGGGCAAATTCACGATTCTGGAGATGCAGTTGGAGCGAAACGTCGGACATCGTGCCGAACGGACACGCGGCCCAACAAACGCATGGAAGAGCTGTTCGGCACAACCGCAAAGGCTATGCAAGCGGTGCTTTCATTTACTAGACACACGCGCAAATCACAGAACAAATTCTGGGTTGATCTTTTTTAAAACAAAAATCTAAGAGCTCATCTTTTTGTTTAAATGTTAGCAATTAAGTCGAGCCAGTCCTCGTTTAACGCGGTAGTCGATGTATCTCTAGGGGGGCTCCACACCGCTGGAGGTGTTCTTTAGGGGGGCTCCACACCGCTGGAGGTGTTCTTTAGGGAGGCTCCACGCCGCTGGAGGTATCTCTAGGGGGGCTCTACACCGGTGGCTCTACGCCTGGCTGTCTCTCTCCCTCTCTGTCTACGCTGGCCAGGACTTTGATCCATTTATGTCTGCTCGAGCTGAAGTCCGCGCCGGTCCCAATCTGACTCGGAACCAGGAATTGATTTCCTGATGAAAGCCTCGTGAGCCGTACAGCCGCTCTCTTGCCAGGGCCACTCGTCCCCGCCGCTGTCTGTCACGGGGGTGCCCCCAACGGGACGGTTCCCCCGTACTGAAGCATCCTTAAGAGCTGCACGCGTGCGTGTCCTATGCACAGAAACCCCACGGGCTGACGCCAGTTGCCTAGCTACCGAGTGCGCAGGCACTGCAACTGCGTTAGGGAAGGGGGTGGGGCGGGGGGACGGAACAATGGGGGCTCAAGAGAAGGCCAATTCCTACCTCGCGTCAGGACCAATGTCACCTCGGCCAAGCCACTGTCACTCGACGATTGCACGACGTAAATTATTTTATTTTTAATCTCAAATGTAGCGCAAATAAAATGCAACAACAATGTTCACGTTGAATGCAGAGGCGTTGTTTTCTTTTTTGGGGTTTTTATTAAAATTGCGCAAAATCGTTTGGTCCAGCCGGGAAATCGCAACAGCCACACTCCGCGGGATCAATCGCAACGCAGAGGGCCCAACACGAAAAGTCCGGGGGTACTCGGAGCGACACGTCCAACGATCCCCACTATCCCCCCATTGCCAGGTGTGTGGCCGAATGGCGGTGACACGAGCAGAGAAGTTTTACGTCGAGCGACTATTTACCAGGCACGCTCGGGGTTGAAAACTCTTGAGATCAGAACCCAAAAAAAGAAACCAGGGACATATCACGAGAAATAGGAATATCTCACAAACACCAGCAGAGGACAGAAGCTCACATGAATGCATTCCTCTTAAGCGGTGTGTTGTTATTATTACGCGAGTGACAATAACAGTCAACTTGTAATGGTCCCTGGGAAGACTTCAAAATAATTCCCAGGACTGCAGCTGCCTCAACTAATTGGACGTCTTGGGGGGCGGAGGGGACAGCAGGACAGGATGGCAACCCTAAACCACATCCCAATCTGGGCAAAGTGGGAAACCCGTGCTAGATTATAACCGCGCACCGACCCACATTTTATCCCTTTGTAAAAAAAATAGCTCGCGACGACACAAAAGATTCGTAATTGCCGGCACTACTATCCGCTTGCCTCGGCCACCGCTCCTTGCAGCGGCCGTGCTTCGGCGACACGATCGTTACGCGTCCGACAGGGATCCGCGCCCACCATCGGACGGGCGGGAATGACGGATGGCGCCCGTTATAAACGCCAAGACCGAGATATATAAAAAGGCCAAATCTTTTGTTTAAAATCGCTCCTTTTCTCGACGGCTGGCACAACGTGTCCCGAGGAGATAATGCCGCCAAGTCGAGAGCGAGCGTCCGTACACGGCGACGCCCGCCGCGGGGGATGGCGGTGCGGGAAAGGGGAACCGTGGCCGTCGTGGCCGTTTCTCGCCCGACGGGCGTCAAGCGGCGGGGCCCGAGGGTTGCGTGCTCTGCCTCGCCGGAAAACGACCCCGTGACGGCGAGCGAGCGAGCAAGCGAGCGCGTCGCTCCGACGGGTGAGGTCGACATCAAACGGCGGGCAGTAGCACCGACAAGCTCTGTATACTGGGGGGGGGACGCCACGCGCGCGGACCGAACGACCACGCGGCGACGTGACCTGGAAAGGCATCGCGGAGCTGCGGCGATCCTCGCGCGAAAGCTCGGCGAGCAATGCTGTCGGCCGCTCGGACGATTTTGTTTTGTTTACGAAATTGTTTTTTGAAAAACTGAACGGAGAGAGGGTGGCATCGCTTCCGCGCTTTCGAGTGAATTTTAATCGCGTGAAGTCGCTTTTGCCCAAGTGATAAAATGTTTTAAGTGAAAATGTTTGTCTTGAGAAAATGCATCCCACAGATTTTTATTCCAAAGTCTGGAATAAAAATCCAAAATTGGGCATAACATTTTAAATTGTTAATCCGAAAATCCCATCGCCAATGTACATCGTGCCTCCGTTTGCCAGTGTTTTCAAGGCCCCCACATTGTAATTCTTCACCGCTGTAGGCAAACCCATTTTCGAAAGAAATAACCTACAAACCGCATTTTGTATCGTTTACAAATGTTACCGATTCTTTTGGTCACGTTCGATTAACTTGATTGCGTCTTTGATAAAGTGCAGTTTAATAATGAAGTATCGACGACCATATCATCCTATATTACACCTCAACAGCTAAGCAGGATTGAGCACAGCTGAGACTTGGATGGGTGATCGGGGGAGGGGGGGGAAAACATTGGGTGGGAGGTGTGGCGAAAAGATAATAGTGCCTCGTGTGTGTGTGTGTGGAGCTTTCATCACATCACGGAGGGGGTGTAGGTTGGGGGGGGGGGCAAATCGTTACAGGCCTCATTGAGAAACGCTTGGAATTGGTTTATCTGACCCCTGCAGCCATGGTGTGATGGGGCGTTGTGGGGATGGGGGAAGGGTGCAGATCGTTACAAACCTAGTTGGGAGATGTCGCCAGACTGTTCCGGCAACGCATCGTTCCATCGTCACGGGAACGGCCGTTAACGATGACAGCTCCAGCGGTATAGTTAATTCATAACGAGCACGCTCGGGTCGATCACGCGATGGGGATCTAACAGAGTTCGGACGCGCTCCGCTTAATTTTCCGCTTGAACGTGTGGTCCGCCGTGACTCGAGACAAATCGCCCCCGGCTCAAGCGGAGCCTGATAAAGGCAAAGGCATCTGTAGCTGTCGGGGGTGGGCGGGGGGGCGTTTGCGTAGTCACGACGGCTGCAAACGCAGTGCAAGGAAAGGGGGGGGGGCGCGTGAGTCACTAGCCAGAGGCCCGAGCCGCCGTAGATGCCCGCGGTAATATTATCCCGTTAATCGGCTGAAGCGGCAAAAGCGGCAGCAGTCGTAAAATTTCATCCCCCGCGCGTGAGGCAGGGTTGAGCAGAGAGGCGAAGATGCGACGCTGACGGGCGAAATGGGATGTTCTCACAGCTCAGTCGGGCGTCTAACGCATTTGACTTGGCGCGTTGCCGTCGGCTAAACGGGCGAACGCAGGGGACGCTTCCCCACGCTCCATGCCCCGAAGCTCCGTGAGATGAGGAGACGAGGATTCATCCACGCTTTCGCAGAAATGGGTTCGAGCTTCGCAGAGCCGAAGGCTTCGTCCCGGTAATCAAATGAGTGCCGAGCGGAGATTATTTTTGTAGGCGGTCCCTGAACCAGTGATGGAAATGCCACGTTCCCATGGCAGTGGTGATAACAAAGTACTGTAGGTGCCTGTTGCAGAAAATAGTAGGCACGCAACGATTCACCCCCCATGGCAACATCGTGAATTGTCTGAATTAATTTGCGATTCGTGAATACGTTTTTTTTAATTTTACAATCCCATTTGCATCGTTTCTCTATTTGGCTGTTTGCTCTACTCGCCAAAACTTAACATGGGCACATCACTTGCACATCACTTGCACATCACTTGCACAGCACTTGCATACATCCTAAATTATCAATTCTTACACGCACAATTTTTCGCACGCAGTGTAAATATTAGTCCTAATCCATTTATCCAACCATCATTATAATCTCAAAGTAAGTGTGTTGGCATTTTAATAAGAGCGCCATAACCCTACGACCCCTATAAAATTATAAAACATCCGACATAATTTTCAAACGTAAAAACAAATGTACACCTCCTCGTGCTATATCGGCGGCCAGGGTGGCATCGCAAGCCTTGCCCACTTGGTCAAGGTCTGCTCCGCCGTCTCACCTGGCGTCACAAACGCGGTGCGAAAGTGCCAGCGTGCCCCGTAAAATTCTGACCCCAGGGGCCAGAATACTATAAAATATTTGAACTTCCGCCCCACTGTGGTAATTTAAAGCCTCGGCCCAATTCTGACCCCACAGATCAGATGTTTGTACCCCTGGGTCAAACTGTATCCTACACAGTACTGATCCCAGGGTTCGACTTACTACCACTATACTACTAATTTATTTTACCAGGTAGGGCCCACTGAGCTGTCTAGCTTTTTTTCCAGAAGTGACCTGGCCACAAATGATAGCTCAACGAAGTGGCTTATCACGTGGAAATGTATAGCAGGAGCCAAATACTCTAAAACGCACGTTGATTCTAAATGTGGATGGAAAAACCGGAGGACCCGGAGAAAAATCCACGGGGAGAGAGACATTCAAACTCCAAATATACAGCAGGCGTCAGGGTCGGAGTCGAATCCACGACCTCCTGTATACCGGGCAAGGCAGTTAACATCTCACCATCAGCGGAGAGTCCCAACTTATACGGGCGTCACAATACTTTGGGAGGGGGGGGGGGGTGGTGGTGGGATCACAGTGGCAAGAACGAGGAGAAAACGGTGTGCAGGTCGACCTCGGCTTGCTGCAGAGCGAGGCACAGGGCACGGCGCGTGGCGGCGCTGCCGGCGCCCTGGCGCCACGCGAGCAGCATGGCGAGCGTCTGGGCGTGCGCGCTGTGAGGGTGAGCCACGCGGCAGTGGTAGGCCCGGGCCTGCGTGACGCCCAGCGCCGACACCAGATGCTCGCACTCCGGTCCCAGCGAGGCGGCCAGGCGGCTCAGCTGCAGCTCGTCGGGAGGAGAGTCCAAAAATTCGGGAGGGAAATTCGCCAGCACGCCTGGGGAGGGGAGGGGAGTGCGACGGGATAGGCACGGGGGGGCAGGGAGTGACATTTTAATGCGAGATACAATTTATTATTTATATATAAAATATGTTAACACAACACACAATGCTTTCGTAGGTAAACTTTTTTTGTGAACGATCGCCAAGCAAAGGCTTAAAATCGTCAAACGGCAGCACTATCCGAGTTGCAAAATATGGGAGTTATAATGTGTTTATAACGTGTTTTTTTAGTTGTGCATGGTTATTGTAAGAGCTCTGGGGAAGAGGCGATGGGAGGGAATTCCTAAATGATAACAGGAAGAGTGAAGAAGCAAAAAGTGGCAAGACCACCTTAGCGGTACTTAACTCAACCCAATTGGTTTCTATGGTCAAGGACACTGTACTATCTCCTGACGATATCCTCGTCAGCTGTGATGTGATCTCGCTGTTCACCAAGGTCCCAGTGCCTGACACCATAACAATAATTGAAGATTTGGTCCAACATGGACTGAAGTACCTGCACTGGTTAGGCACTGCCTCACCAACACTTACTTTACCTGGAATGGTACCTTCTACAAACAAAATGAGGGTACCCCTATGGGTTCTCCCTTGTCACCAGTGATAACCAATGTTTTCATGGAGAAATTTGAATCAGACGCCATCCAGACATCCACCCTTCGTCCTTCCCTGTGGAAAAGATATGTGGATGACACTTTCGTCATTTGGCCACATGGCCTCCCAGCTTTGAGCCATTTCCTAGACCACAAATTCCAGACACCCATCCATCAAATTCACCATGGAAGTGGAGAAAGATGGCAAGCTGCCATTCTTGGATGTTCTGTTTGAGAGGAGGACGGATGGCTCTTTGGGACACTGTTTACAGAAAGTCCACCCACACAGATTAATACTTGAAGCCTGATTGCTACCACCACCCGGCTCAAAAGAACTCTCTCATCAAAACATTATACCATAGGGCTCGTTGCATTTCTGACCAACACCACCTGGCCAGTGAATTAAAACATGTACATCTGGCCCTCAAGAGAAACGGATACTCTGACCGTACCATCCGCCAAGTTGTTTCTCCCTCCATACAGAAACAACTACTTGATACTCCGATCAAAACCATCACACTACCATACATAGCAGGTGTTACCAAAAATATTTCCAAAATTCTAACCAAACACAAGATCCAGGTCCGGTTCAATACAGTACACAAAATCCGGGATCTGATCCCATCCGTAAAGGATGTCATTCCTGACTTACAGTACCCCGGTGTTTACAAATTGAGTTGAACCTGCGGTGACTGCTATATCGGGGAGACGAAACGACATATTTCTGACCGAATCCGCGAGCACAAATCAGATTTGAAACACGGCAGAACGAATTCTTCGGCCGTGGCTGATCATTGTTTCAACACAGCGGGTTCTCATGACATTGTTTTCTCTGATACCAAAGTTCTCTGCAAACCTCCCGGTTATTATCAGAGATTTGTCCATGAAGCCATCCAGATATACATAGACACAACTTCAACTGAGAGGATGGTTTCAAATTGAGCAACTTTTGGAAAGATGTCATCAACCAAGTCAAACGTTAGCTGGCTGATAATTGTACAGTCGTTTCCGTTTCTACCAGGATGGTGCTTGTTCTCGTGCAGCACGCCATCGCTCCCCCCCGAACCCCCTGCAGCATAACAAAAGGCGGCTTAACTCAGCCCTCCCCCCCCCCCCCCCCTTAACCTGTATATAAGCTCGGGTGTCCCAGAGCTGTTCACTTGATACAGCGATCTTTGCTGTGTCTGTCTCACCTGAAGACGGAAGCTTGTGTTGCCTCTGAAACGTCGTGATTTAATTGAGTTGTTTTCTTTTATTTTTATTTTACCTACGTGACTTTACCGAAAAAACCAAAGAGTAAGCAAAAAGTGATTTTGACCTGCATTGTATTGAGTAGGTGATTGAGTGGGTGATGGTGACCTGCAGCATGGTGAGGGCTTAATGAGTAGGTGAGTGAGTGGGTAGTGGTGACCTGCAGCATGGTGAGGGCTTAATGAGTGGGTGAGTGAGTGGGTGGTGGTGACCTGCAGCATGGTGAGGGCTTAATGAGTGGGTGAGTGAGTGGGTGGTGGTGACCTGCAGCGTGGTGAGGGCTTAGTGAGCGAGTGGTTGAGTAAGTGGTGGTGACCTGCAGTGTGGTAGTTGAATATAGTATGGGTGGAGGTAAAAGCAGTCACTGTCTGGTCGACCGACTCCTCCACGTGCGTGAAGGTATCGACGAGTGAAGTTCCCGGGAACGGTAACCATGGTAGCAGCGATGGACGCTTGATGAGGGGGCAACTGACCGCCGATGAGCGAGTGACTGGTGTGAATCGGCTTGAGCTGCTTCACGCTGTTTTGGTTGTCTGCGAATTAAGACTTCGGAGCCGTCATCGATTTGCTCGAGATTGGACAAAATGCCGCCGCTGTGCAAGTTTTCGACGGCTGTGCTGCGCAACCCTCCCAAGTATCCCGAGGGTTGCATCGCGTGTCCCACATTTGGCTCCACGAAGCAAATTGATGCTCCGAGCACGTGGAGCGAAGATGACATCGCAGGCCTACTTTAAAAATCACTTCAATCGGCTTCTTTATCCACGCTGGGAGCGCACGTGTTATTCGTCTCAAAATAGTCGTTTCAACGTATGGCCAGCCAAATAAAATGTTCATTTCCCAGAACTGGAACACTGCACGCCAAATGAAGTGAAAACCTAAAATTTAATGGGATGCTGGCTGGTTTTTGTGTGTGTGTGTGCGGTCATTGGTGACCAGGGCTAAGCTCATTAAAAATCGCTACACGAAAAAAAACACACCCGGTTTAATCACGGGTGGCTGCAAAGAGTTGATCCCAGGATTCCAGCGGTGCTGACTCAGGGCTTGGCCGTGGCATTAGCAATGCCGTGGCACCTGGCTGCTTTCATAAGAGCCACCGCCATCATGAAACAACGCAAAATGTGTGCAGACGCATCTATGCCCCTGTACGCATTAACTAGGAAATTAAAAACAAAATCCTCTGTACTCGTACACGTCTATGGTCTTGGTGTTGTTCTTCGTACACATGCATGTAGACGTACGTGCAAGGGCGCGTATATGTGTAGGTCTACACGTGTGCGGTTGTGTTGCACTACGAACCCGGAGAGCCGAGATCGATTCCCGCACACGGCCAACACCGGGTGACCATTATCTGAACCGGTCCTGGGTCTTCCCTTTGTCGACTCAGCCTCAAACGAGGATCTGGTGCGGTGTGTAAACATTGCCACTAGGGAGACAAAGGCGGCCGGGCGTGGTGTTGGCCACCCGCCACCTCGTGTGCCGTTCCGGCCTTCATAGGTGCTCGCTAACGGCACTTGCCCCAACAGTCAGTTAAGGCTGTATGGGGGGGAATCATTGTCTTTTTATATATGTGCACGTGCGCACTTGTGAATGCGAGCCTCCCAAACGCAACATTTCATCGAGTGCCGGGTGAGACGGGGTGACGAAGAATTGTTCCGCCCCGAGTGAAGTCGGTCTGTGTAAGCACACAACGTTGTACGTGTGTGCAAATGTCTGCATTAGGTGTCCGTGCGAGTACGCGCACCTGTCTTTGTGTGTCGACGTATGGCAGAGGTGGGGAACCTGTTCCTCGCCAAGCGCCGTATAGGACTTTCAAATAACTTTAGGGGGCAACCGCACATTAACGTGGGGAAAAAATGCTAAAATTAGAAACTCTGCTGCGAGGTCAAGTAAATACCCCTCCAGTACCCGATTAGTGCGGCTACCATGCTTGCGGTGACAGACAGATATCGTCAATGCGCCGCTTCAAAGTAATGCCGCGGGCTGCATTCGGTCTGTGGGCTTATGAAATGACCGGCCCTTATCCGGTCCGTGCATCTCAGACGCACACACTCAATTCGCAAGAGGTGGTACAGTCCGTGAGGCTATTTAAGATTAAGTTGTGAGCTCCCCCTCCCCTCCTCACTCTCGTCTCCTTCCCCTCCCCTAAATACACCACGTTCCCAATCGTTGCCCCCTACGTGAGTAGGAGGGGGGGGGGGGGGGCAGTGATCCCAGTCGCCCGTTACTTTCCCCTGACCACGTGGGCACCTGGCCTTGGGACTGTCGTCCGTGGATTATCTTTACCCGCCAATATGGGACCTTTCTTGCCAGTATCAAAATATAAACAATGAGGTTTTACCCTTTATGGCAATAAAACAGGTGTTAAGATGTTAAAACACCAAACAGAATCCTTTTTTCAAAGATTTCTGTCTGCATTAACCACATGTACTTGTGGTGAACATGCAAAGAAAAACATGCTCTGATAATATATACATTGTCTTTGAAACTGATTGGTCCACACCAGAGACAGCTTTCTGTTGAGCCTAGTCTCAAACAGAGTTCGACCAGAGAACCCCAAAAGGCGAACAGCACAAAGACAATGCCACTATCAGGGCATTCATAGCTCGGGGTGAGCAGCTAGAATATGGGACCTTAACATCTCAACACCTGTTTTATTGCTAGAAAGGGTCAGATTGTTATACCTCTACCCCCGCCATCACTCGTGCTTTGAACTGGGATTTTGTTCTATAATAACATTCCAAAATTTAAACTTGAATTTGTGGGTCATATCTGGCCCCTGGGCCCCGTGAAATCAGCTCGTGGGGGCCGCAGCCGGCCCAGGGGGCCGTACGCAGGTTCCCCGTCGCTGGTGCGCGCAGCCTGCGCCGGCTCGCGCGTTCTTCCGCGCCAGAGCAAAATCACCGTCGAGGGGGTCGCCCCGCGCGGCCTCCTCCCAACCGACGGCGCTCTCCTCGCGCACGATGCTGTCCAGCAGCCACGGGGAGTCTTCGCGCAGCGCCTCGCACAGCGCCGCGAAGGCGCGCGGCCCACGCCGCGGCAGCTCGTCCAGCAGGCGGTAGGCGCGCCGCCGGGAGCCGCGCTCCGCCAGGACCTCCTCCAGCTGCTGCGCCGAGATGATGCCCTCCTGGTACAGGTAATGGCTCGCCGACTCGACGCACATTTCCGACGCCAGCCGCGTGCGCAGCCGCCGCAGCGTCAGCTTGTGCCGCTGGTCCATGGGCGGCCGCGAGCCTGCACGTGGGTAAGGTGAAGTCCTCGGGTGACACGGCGAATTCAGAGGCGGGCGGGGGGGGGGGGGGGGCGACGGCCCCCCGTTGTTGCCATGAAGGGCGACGTTTATCTCGTTTGGGGAGTACTACGTTATTTTTAATTTGTGCGACTAGCAGAGCCGGGAGCGCGTGCTGCAAGAGATTTGTTTGCGGTCCACATCCCGCAGGGCACCCTGGTTCATAAGTTGCAGTAGTTGAACTATGAGGTACACTGCCATCTCCAGTGTATTTTAAACGTTCCGAGATCCCGTGACATCATTAGAAGAAGAGTAGGCCCACTGTGTGCCGAAGTCACGGTCCTAAACTTTGCCAAAGTAAAAAAAAACTCACTTGGAAATTAGCCGATTGGAAAACAAATCACGATCATCGGCCCCCCGACTGCGAAAACGTCGCGGGTCGCCTCCTGGACATTAACGTTTATTTTTAAACTCGCAAAAATATAAATATGTAACATGCGATACTAAACAATGGCAAAACAACACGACTGAAACCACTGAAAAGTGTAATTCTGGCACGCCAAATCCACCGCCGCAGTCGTGATTTTAAACTGGCACCGCCTGGCACGGAACATCTCTGCTCAGCGTGGAACCGCGGCTAACTCAAGCCACCAGTGATTTGCAACGCTGTTCAATTATTGAGGCTCGGAGAGCGGGTTTTGAAAGTTTTCCTATTTTATTATTATTCTATTCTTGCACACGAGGGCCAATATGTCCGTGAAGCTTAATGTTAAATGTCAAGGTCTGCCAGCCATGACGAGCGGGCTTCAGACGAGAGAGTCGGTGTGGTTTTTCTGATATTCCTCCGCCTCCGTTGAAGGAGTTTTCCGAATATAGTTTGGGTTGCGAGGCCACAATCGACCTGCAGTGGCTTGTCCTTTCAAAAAGAGACCTGCAAGGGATTTGAACCCAGGTTGCCTGCTTCTGAGTTGGGCAAGCTACTCAATACAGCCGATTACTCCAGCCTTGGCGAGTCTCGATTACGAAAGTAATCGATGACTCTTCTTTGGTTCTTTCGGTAAAGTAACGTAGAATGAGAATAAAATAATAAATTGATAAAATAACACAATAATATTCTCACGACGTTTCGGCCACAACACAAGCGGCCTTCATCAGGTGAAGGGACGAGACTGTCTGGTAGGACAATTTATTATTTTATTCTCATTCTACGTGACTTTACCGAAAGAACCAAAGAAGATGAATCATTGCAGTCACGAAAGCTTTAAATCGAAATTTAATCGATGACTACCGATTAATTATCCGTTTGTTGATCGCTCGACAAATTGGATAACTCGAAAGAGGGTGTCTCGTCTCGAATTCTCACACGTGCCGCTGGACGGGAAGTAAAATGGGGTGGGAGGAGGGGGGTGACGTCATAAACATCATAAGCCGCGTCACGCCGGCCATCGATTTTAGGGGGGGGGGGTTTCCCACCTTCAGCGCGTTGTTAAAGGGCCGAGTGCCAGCCCACAAACTGAAGTTTCTGTTCATCGACTTCAACATCGGCCGATTAATCGACGTAACTAATCGATCCACCTCGTTACAATTATTGTGCGTTGAACTTGTAAACACAACTTGTAAGTAACTTGTAAGCAAGTTGTGTTTCTCTGTAATACAGGTTGGATTTTTTTTGGGGGGGGGGGGGTGGGGTGGGGTTAGATCGCGTAAATGTGTGTCGTTAAACCCGCCACCACCCGACACAGCCAACTAGTAAGGTTTGTCACGTTAGGGGATGTTGCTGTACTAGTAACGAATTGGCACGTTCTGTTTACGTGACAAACCTCACGAATTGTCTTTGTCGGGTGGTGGCGGGTTTAACGACACATTTATATATTTACGAGATCTAACCCCCAACAAAAAAACACCCCCCTCTATTATGGATATTGGTCGCGAAAGCCCGCTACTGCGTGTTAAACTAAAGTTGTGGTGTTGTGTGCGGGGTGCAGTCAACGAGTCAACTGGACGCGCGCGCGTTGTGTAACGTGCTGTGTGTGGGGTATAAGGTTTCACTTCCTCAATCCACTGCTGGATGAAGGCCTCCCTACGCCTGGTCGGTCATGGGGGTTGGGCTTGACCATACTTCACCACCACGGTTAGTTCGTCTTGTGTGTGGGACCGAAGTGCTGACAGGCTCGCGGTACAGTGCGCACGTGTTTATAGCCAGCAGCACTGTGCCAAGAACTGTACAGTACTGTACTAGGCCATGGCAGTGGTTGTTACAGCGATGGTGATGGTGGTGATAGTGGTGATGATGATAGTGATGTCCCTGATGATGGTGGTGGTAGTAGTGATGCTCTTGATGATAATGATAGTGGTAGTGATGTTCTTGATGATGACGGTAGTGATGATGATAGTGATGTCCCTGATGATGATAGTGATGTTCCTGATGAGGATGATGGTAGTGATGTTTCTGATGATGACGATTAATGGCAGTGATGCTACTGATGATGTTAGTGATCTTGATGATGACGTAAGTGATGGTATGAAGTTGGTGGCGTTGGTGATGATGACTGACCCCAGCAGCCCGTCTCCCTTGCAAGCAGCGAACAATAGTGAACTACAAAGACAAGGGTCCCCCACACCCCCGTATAGCCTTAACGGACTTGTGGCTCCAAGTGCCGTGACAGAGTGGCACCTGCGAAGGCCGGCACGGCGCACGGGGTGGCCTTTGTCTCCCTCGTGGCGATGTTTTTATTATTTGGTACGGGCCGCAGCAGCAGGCAGGCAGCCAGTGAAGGCGGATTCCACCTGGAGGGGATAGAAACCACCACCGGCGCGGGCATGGCGTGAGGGAACAAACACAGCGCACCCGCGAATTGGTGAATGGATGGAGCTGACCGTGATGATGGTGGTGGTGATGATGATGGTGGTGGTGATGATGAAGATGATGGTGGTGGTCATGATGATGGTGGTGGTGGTCATGATGAAGATGATGGTGGTGGTGATGGTGGTGATGATGAAGATGATGGTGGTGGTGGTGGTGATGGTGGTGATGATGAAGATGGTGGTGATGATGAAGATGATGGTGGTGGTGGTGATGGTGGTGATGATGAAGATGATGGTGGTGGTGGTGGTGATGATGATGATGGTCATGATGATGATGGTCATGATGGTGGTGATGGTGGTGGTGATGATGAAGATGATGGTGGTGGTGATGATGATGGTGGTGGTGATGATGATGGTGGTGGTGGTGATGATGATGATGGTGGTGATGATGATGGTCATGATGATGGTGGTGATGATGATGATGGTGGTGATGGTGGTGGTGATGATGGTGGTGATGGTGATGATGGTGATGATGATGGTGGTGGTGGTGGTGGTGATGATGATGGTGGTGATGGTGGTGGTGATGATGGTGGTCATGATGATGATGGTGGTGGTGATGATGATGGTGATGATGATGGTGGTGGTGATAATGGTGGTGGTGATGGTGATGATGGTGATGATAATGATGGTGGTGGTGATGGTGGGGGTTATGATGATGGTGGTGGTTATGATGATCATGGTGGTGATGGTGATGATGGTGATGATGATGGTGGTGGTGATGATGGTGGTGATAATGATGGTGGTGATGATGGTGGTGATGATGATGATGGTGGTGATAATGGTTGTGGTGATGGGGAGGCAAGCTACCCACCTCTCTTATCGCCGTGCAACCATCGGTTAAGCAGTGAACGCTCGGATTAAAAGAAGAACCGAAAGCAGAATGATAAGAAGGTGGTCGAGACGACACTTCCGCGCAAGCGAAGGGCTCGGCGTGACGTCACGGGGGGCGGGGACGCGGGGGAGGGCGGGGGGGGCAGCACCCTCCCCCGCACTCGTCACGGATTCGCTGGTGACGCTGAGCACCGAGTCACTTTGCTCCGTTCAGGCTGACGAATTTTGGGCGAAAAATAAAGTTATTCCGGTTGATTTCTACGGTTAGAAAGTTTATTTTTTATATAATCAGAGATGTATGCCATGCCCGAATCAATTCCTGCCTCTCTCACCTCACTCTACTCCCCTCCACTCACTCTCCTACCTCTCCCCTCTCATCTCACTCTACTCCCCTCCACGTTCTCTCCTGCCTCTCCCCTCTCGTCTCACTCCACTCCCCTCCACTCACTCTCCTACCTCTCCCCTCTCATCTCACTCTACTCCCCTCCACTCACTCTCCTGCCTCTCCCTCTCATCTCACTCCACTCCCCTCCACTCACTCTCCTACCTCTCCCTCTCATCTCACTCTACTCCACTCCACGCACTCTCCTACCTCTCCCTCTCATCTCACTCTACTCCTCTCCACGCACTCTCCTACCTCTCACCTCTCATCTCACTCCACTCCCCTCCACACACTCTCCTACCTCTCACCTCTCATCTCACTCCACTCCCCTCCACGTTCTCTCCTCCCCAGCTAACCACACACCCTTGTTGTGAAAGTCCTCCCACCTGAAGACGGTTGCTTGTGTGGCGATCGAAACGTTGTGATCTATTATTATTTTTCTTCTACCTACGTGACTTTACCGAAAGAACCAAAGAGCATGGATTCCTGCAGTCACGAAAGCTTCATATCAAGATTCCTCAGTCAACCTTTACTCAGTTCAAATGAACGAGCCCACTGTTTCTGTACGGCGTCCTGCGATCTGGACGGACGATTGACAAATGCACATTGTATCAAGACTTTTGATTGGGATTCGGTGCTGAATCAAAAGTTTGCCCCCAACCCCGCTCATGTCCGGCTTTATTTTCCGAGATTAGCGGCAGCGGCGATATTTCTGAGAATCGCGCCGGTTTCCACTGCGCTTGCCAAATTCTCTCTACTATTTTTTTTTTGCCCGTGAACAACTTTGTACCGCATTCGACGAATTTGTAATTGTAAGATCCTCCGGAAAGTAAGACGCAAGCCCAACCCACCGAGCTTCTGTTCTTGTCCAGTCTCAAGATCCGGCCCGTTTCGCCGTCCCTTGTCGACGTTCGCGGTTCTGACTCCACCGGCCACCCCCGCTTCGCGAGACAGTGTACGTTTAGATAAAAAAAAGACAGACCCCCCCCCCCCCCCCCCCCCCCGTTGTCGCCCTTCGCAAGAGGCATTTTGTCCAAATTTGTTGAGTATTTAAATGTTCAACAAATGTACCTGTTTGCGAATTTGCACAGCGGCATTGCCACCCGGCTGTGAAACTACTGCGGGCTTTTTTGTTTTGTTTAATCCGAGAAACTTCGCCTTCATGACAGCCTCACCAACGTGGTTTAAGCATTACATAGTGCTTATTACCCCTTAATGATGGTGGTGTGTCAACCGTTGGCTGGGACATGAACCCTCGACTCAGAGTTACACGTATCCACGTGATTTGGACATATCGCTTGGTTGTCAAAACTTTTGACCCAGATTTGTATCACTCGTCCCATAACCGCATCTCTTTACTGTTCTCAGAACTTGAGTGTGCGTTCAACGCATGGTCAAAACGTTTTTGAGAATCTTACACAGTATTTCGCAGCCAAGTTCCAACATTGCGGGTGTTGTACTCATGGTGAAATGTAGTTGCGTTATAGGTCACTATAAGATCACTATAACACAACGATGATAATGTTTTTTTTTATATACTGCTGGTGATGATGATTTTTATTATATTAGCAGTAATGACGATTAATCAGTCAACATTCTTTAAGTGGCGTCAATTCATATATATAAGAATTCATATATATAAGAATTCATATAACGGTGATTTAATCAGGGCCGTCCCTAGGGTATGGCGAATGGGGGGGTGACCGCCTCGGGCCCCGGGGTCACGGTGTGAGATGTAATACTGCCTGTTTAGTATGGACGGCCGTACACATCCTAACACCAAGTCATCTCCCCGGTGTCGCTCTGTACACGCAGGAGCAGGTACTCATTTAAGGCTGGGACAACTTAGGGGGAGGCCGATCACCGGTGTAGACCACTCGTCACTGATATTGGTCCTGGCCGGTATCGAACTCTGTTGGCCGGGTCACGAGTTCTGTGTGATAACCACTACACCACCGCTCCGTCGACACAAAGGCAGAAATCCCCCGTATAGCCTTTAACAGACTATTGGGTCAAGTGCTTTTGGCAACCACAGTGAAGGCACACACGAGGGTGGGTGGCTAACACCACGCCCGACCCCCCTTTGTATCCCCAGTGCTGATGTTTTATACACCGCACCATGTACACATTTAAGGCTGAATCGACCTAGGGGAGGAGGTTCAGGACCGATTTTAATTCTTATTCGCTGCTGTTATAATTGATCGTGAGCGGGAATCGAACTCTGGTCGCCGGGTTCGCAGCGTGCCTAACCACTGTGCCACCGTTCCCCATCACGCGTGCCCCGCACGTTAGACACACGTGTCATGTACACACACACACGCACGCGCGTACATCCACGCACAGACTTCGATATCAGTAAGGCGTGCTTTTAATAACGTCACGTGGACAGAGAGAGAGTTCGCTCTGTCATCGTATACCGATGTGCACTTTGTACCACAGTCCACACTTAATAGACGACAGTCAACAGAGATTATACGGGGGGCGCGGGCGGGGGGGTTGGAGATATTTAAACGGGAAACCAGAAATCACAAAACAAATGTGCATGCCACACCACTCCAAAGGACTGTACCACGCGCATACACGCACGCACACACAAAATATAAATTATACACCGAGAAATATCTCGAAAGGTACAAATGGTCTTGCCGTATGCGGCAGTGCGTTTGCGGTAGGGGCGTGTTGGGGGTAAATCGCGACATTCCTTGACCTCATTGTCAACGCGTTGTCCGAAATTCCGAATGCACGCAGTCTCGCACGCCCAAGACGGAACGATCCACAGCACTCCGTACAAAACTAGTGAGAGGAGATTGTTACTTCGTTGTTTGTAAAAATATTGCAGTCATCTAAAGAATATATATCAGCATATTTTTGTGTTTTCATCTGGAAGATACAACTACAGTACACGCACACAACGCATTGCATCCTCAAAACCGATACGAGTGCCGTAATTTTTTTTTCGTTTTAAATATCCAGCTCATGACATTGGCTCCCTTATAAAATAAAATCGCCCGGCTGAGAATGGACCATATTCTCCAGAATATTAAGACGCTTCGGAAAGTAAGACGCACCCTAAAAGAGTCACAAACGTGTCAATAAAGTTATCAACACGTGGTCTCTCTCTCGCACACACCATATACACAGCTGCCGGAATATAAGACACTTCCAAAATTCTACTTTAAAATACATGTCTGGGGAGAGAGGAGGGGATGGTGAGGTGGGGGAAGCGCATCTTATCCAGAGAATATGGCAATCTCTTGTATTTCACTGAAATTTCACTGCGCTATTAACAGGGGCCTTCTCAGGCATGCTCAACACCCAGGCAAATGCAATCAGATCTTTTTGTGATGTCCCCTCCGCCGCCCGCATACTTTTACCAGATTCACTCTCAGCGGCCCTTCAGGGCAGCATGGACGTAAGGTGACATTGTTATTCAAATAAATACATTCCAGCCATTCCACTTGTTCCAACCAGCGGATTGAAGGCCTCTCACCACACGCGGGAGCGTTGTTGTTATTTGCCATACTTCACCGCGCTGGTCATCAATGCGGGTTGGCGAAGGCTGAGAGCATACGAAGTACATAAGTACCGTACAACAATGTGGGTGGAGGAAGGGGTAGGGGGGGTGGTTCAGACACTGATGTTAAGACGTGGCCGGGAATCGAACTCCACTTTTCTAGCTTCATAGCAGCAGCGCGCTCACCACTGCACCACCACCCCAGTCATTGTAATGATCAGTTCTGTTTACCTAAACGCCATCATAATCATTAATACAACGTTTTATTACTGAGTGATGGCATGTACGCTTGATATTATTCCGCTTCAATCATATGGCCAAATTAGACCCTCGAGGTGATACAGAGAACATTTTCGACTTGCGCGCGTGTTAATACGTTGGGGGTTGTGTGCTGTGTGTAACTCGTGTGTGAGTGAATACGTTGGGATTGTGTGCTGTGTGTAACGCGTGCCGTGCTAATACGTTGGTGTGCACGCGTCATGCACGTGTCGGTACAGGTATGTAGTTGCACCGTTGTCAACGTGTGTGCCATGTGTGTTATTAAGTTTATATGTAGACTTTATATATCTGCGTGTGTGTGTGTCTGTCATCTCATTCAACCCATGGCACCCGGGTCTGTTCCGTGACCTGCCAGCGAGTGTTCGACACTTCACTGGCCTCAAATTGCACCTAGCCTGGTACAAGCGCGGTTATCTGCGTGTGTGCACGCGCGTACGCATTTAAAGTTGTGCGCACGTGTGTAACTATATGTACTTGTGTGTACGCATGTAGCAAATCTACTGGTGTGTACTCGTCTGTATAGCTACATGTACAGTACTTGTGTTCACGTGTGTAAAGTATATGTACTCGTGTGCACACGTGCAATGTGATCGCTTGCAGTTCCGTCCTGTACCATGTTAAGCGCGCGGATGTGTGCAAGTTTACATAAGTGCGTGCAAGTGTGCGTGTCTTCGCACGTGTGTGCGCGTGTGTGTCTCGCAGCTCAAAGCCCAACAACCAGTGCCGGATTATCCTAGTAGCAAAAGTAGCTACACGTGTAGTAGCTACTACTACATATGTAGTAGCTACTACTACTACATATGTAGTAGCTACGGGCCCCGCACTTTCAAGGGCCCCGCGCTGAATGATTTCAAGCTATCAATTACAATTCAGTGATTCTGCACTTGCTCTATTACTATAGTACTATACTTGCCTTCAACTGTTATGAACGACCGGGTGTTTAAGGTTAGCGATTTGTCGTATTATCTGGCTGTACAGCAGATGAAAAATACAATTACTTTACTATGCAAGTTACAAATTTGTGTCTTAATATTTACGTTTTTTTTATTTATGGCCCCTTTGTAACATGTGCTACAGGCCCCGCACTAGCTTAATCCGGCACTGCCAACAACACGCGTGGAAGGGATTCTCCTGCCCAGGCCGGATTAATATTTACAATGGGATCAAGGGCTGTTTCAGTTTGTGGGGAGGTGGGGTGGTGGTGGGGTTTGAGGGGGGGGAGCTCTTGTCCAGGTAGACCTCACCGAACGCAGGGGTTATGTTCCTGAACAAATGCCGCGTTGGGCAAGGTTTTACTGTTTAGTCAATTGCTTGGCGCCACGGTGGCGAGATATTACCTACCTCGCCTGGTATACAGGAGGTCGTGGGTTCGATCCTGACGCCTGCTGTATATTTCAAGTTTGCGTGTCTCTCTCTCCCCGTGGTGGCATGAATTTTTCTCCACATTTAGAATCAACATCACACGTTTAGAGTATTTGGCTGCTATAAATGTCCACGTGATAAACCACTCCGTCGAGCTATCATTTGTGATAGCCAGGTCGCTTATGAAACAAGAGCTACATAGCTCAGTGAGCCTTACCTGGTAAAATAAAAATATAGTTTAAATAGTATCGTTTCCTACCCTTGACTGTTTCACCACCACCATTGCCCTATGATGTCAAACACTCAATTGTTATCCACCTTGGTTATTTCTGTTCTGAAACGTGATACGCGAATTGTGTGTAAAATAGCAACGCTATTTTAATCACGGCCTATTACCAACCGGTCGTAATGCTGCGAGTGGCGCCACGGTTTTAATGACCAAGTTACCTGAAGGAGTTTTCATGGTGTTGTTTTTGCATTTAAGCTGGTATAAAGCGGTTTATATATTTCAGAGGGGAAGTCCCCGCATAATTCAGGGCCACTGGCCTCTGCAGGCCCTAAGGCCCCTGTTTTAAACCGGTCCTGCTCCACAACCCAAGAGCCCAAGGGGCCAGATGTTTCACTCGTTGGTACCCACCCGAGGTGGCGTAACTTTAGCGGTTCCAATTGCCTTACGTGACCAGTGAGAGCGAATTGCGCGATAACCACTTGAAATTCGTGAAGTTATCAAGTACATAAACGATTGTTACGACTCAAGTTGTGCTACATTAGGCGGTATACCGACTTCAAACCTTGGCCCATGGACTACCCGACCCATCACACGCGCAGAAGATGAAGGAGTGTGTGTACTCCTGCGCCCAGGGTTTAATTTGTCGCGATATATTTTCTGGAGCTCAGCCTATTGACGGCTCTGGCTGGGCACAAGCCTTCTTGGCTCACGCCCATCACAAGTGGAAGGGGTACTCCTCCAGGTAGCTCCGTATGCGTTTGGGCAGCCTGATGGAGCCAGGCAGCCGCTGCCTGGCCCTGTGCATCGCTGTCCTGCACTGGTGCTGAAGACTCGGCGGTGCCACGTAGCACGGCTTGCACAGCCGTAGCGGCAGTGGCTCCTCCACCTCCGCTCCCTCCTCCCAGAGACACCTCGACAGGTGCCAGCCATTTTCCTCCTTCTGTTGGCGCTGATGGTGATTCTGCTGGAGCTGATGCTGCTGATGATGATCATGGTGATTCTGCTGCTGCTGCCTCTCTTCACTCAAATCCTGCTGCTGCTGCAGGTGACGCTGCTGCTGCTGCTGCTGCTTACACCCGACGTAAAACTGAACGAGCTTGACGACGTCGTCGAAGTGCACGAGGTGGGGCTTGACGAAGCGCACCGAGTCGAGGCTGAAGGCCCCGCCGCTGTGCTCAATGCGCACGTTCGTGGGCCCGCGGCTCGTCTGCACCGACAGCGTGAGCAGGAAGTCCGGGTGCGTGCTGTCCCGCACCAGGAACGTGCCCTCGGCCGCCGACATCAGCAGCTGCCGGGCCTGCGTGGCCGTCAGGCTGCCCCAGTACCAGCCTAGGTGAAGAGGGGGGGAGGTGTACGGGAAAAAAAATAAACCTTTGTTATGAGCGACAGGGTTTCGTTGCAGCCGCTGTGACCCCCACCCACCTCCCCTACTAGCCACAGGTGATGCTCCGCAGCCTATAGCACCTGTGGTTTTTTTTTGTTCGTATGCGTGGCCGTCGTGCGTTCCAGCACTATGTAGGCGAAACCAGCCTGCTTGGCTTCCGAGATCTGGCACACCGAGGAGTCTGTGTATTTTTAATAAGAGCCGAGTCGATGGTTCGATTCCAGCTACAGTGTCCTCATAATAATATTGAGAATGCTTATGAACGTAACATTATGTATGATGTCATCATGGGTAGGAGTACGGTAATCTTAAGATGTGACAGTGTCTTAGCCAAGCAAAACCCTTCCCCAGTATGCAAATGATAAACCCAACAAACCACTGTAACGTATTAAATTAATCCCCAACTGTAGGTCAGCCACTCCACTCTCGTCTCTGCACTCTACGGAAGGGCCATTGCCAGAAACATTTACATCGCGGTGGCTAGAAGATGTTAACTACCTCCCCTGTTATGCAGGAGGTCGTGGGTTCGATCCCGACCCTGATGCCCGCTGTATATTTGTAATCATTGCTAAAATCTGTGATTGCGTCCCTCCATGCATCTCGCGAACTCCGGTCATCCTCGCAGCAGCAGCGGCTTTCGGCTGCTAACCATCGAACAAAGACGGCGGTCACCGCAGCATCGCGCGCTTTTAGATGCGCTTCTGCGGCCGTCTGGAACGCTCTTCCGATATTATGAAGAAGCCACTGGAGCTATGCACTTTAAAATCATCATCTAGATTGAAAACCCACTGCTTTAGAACTCCTTTTGTGTTTAGTTTGTTGTCCTTACCCCACCTTCGATTAGTATGGTTGGCTGCGTACGATGTGAAAGAAGTTCAACGGACAGAACATACATCTCAACTCCCTCCAGACTGAGTCCGTAAAGAGGCACTGATTCTCAACAGGCTCTCTAACCAGGTGACATAAACGACACGGTTATGAAAGTACTCCCCTCCCGACACCCATATCCAATAATAATAATAACAGTGATGATGCTGTTGTTTTACCCAGGGAAGCCTCGCAGAGAGTAAAGGCTCATTTTCTGGAGGGTCCCACCACGCTGGGAAGTTTTGGCCAAATTCCATGAACGAGCGTTTCACGTGCGGGAGGAAAGCCGGAGCGAGGGCAAAGTGTGGGGTAACAATTGGAGCTCTGCACACAACCACTTTGATGCTCTCCTGCCTTGTCCCGGCCAACGTTATTTTCTCACGAGCAACTTTGAAAATAACAGAAGCATCCGAAATCTTTATTTATGTGGAGGAGAAATCCGATGAGCTATAAAGCTCTTTTTTCACACATGTCTTAGTCGGGGGCGGGTCAGAAAGTTACAGCAACAAACACAATTACAAAAGAAAAACACGATAGGAGTGTAAAGCATAGGAAAGGTAAAGCATAGGAAAGGTAAGAAAGTCACTCGATTGACACTGACAGTGCAATAATAGTTTCACACGATAGAATAAATGATACCTTACTCCCAGAAAATTATTGGACTTAGAATTATCATCGCCCTTGATTTATTCTTTATCGAGACTCCATCACTGGAGGGTCTTGCTCTAGAATGGCAGCCTATATTGTAACCCCTTGGGTACAATGTCTATAAACCAGATGATTATTCTCATCGCTAATCAGCTTGCGTAGATGGCCCAGACCATGGTAGTGTACGCCAGTGATCCAGTGCTTTGGAGGCAAGGGTTGGTGGATCATGCAGAGATTTGTAATACAGTATTTCCAAATTCCGTGAACTGCGAGTTGCTAGGAAATGGCAGAACAACTGGATTTAGGAACCCAACTGTGTAGCCCTTTTGATGTCATCTTGTAGGTACGATGGATTGTCTCCGGATGCTTCGTTTTACTTAAAAATAGCACGAACCAAAACATCCCAGTAGTCGAAGAGTAATCGTAGCGCTGGGCTCTCCAATTATTGAAAGTCATTAAAGTTCTCTTCTGATTCTCGGTTTACATCATAATAATGGGACAACACGACAATAATTGGGATTAGAAAAAAAAGCCTTACCTCTGTTCCCCACGTGTGCCGCTGGACGGGAGGTGATGGCGTGGGGCTTGAAGGGGGTTTCCTTCCGTCCGGACGTGGGATGTGAGGCGGGGTGGCTGTCATCTTTAAATGGTCCCAAGTAATCAACCACAAAGCAGTCTATTTCAATGCTTTCGTTGATTTACTGGTTTGATAGACTAATCATCTCACCTTTAGTAATAACCACGACGAGAATGAAAATCAATTCCATTAATACTTGTCACCTGTGTTAACCAGGAGAGCCTCGGCGATCTTCGTCTTCTTCAGCAGAGTTTATATTTTTGAGAGTTTATATTGGCAGGAGCTTGCTGGAAAATTGAACCATCCCGGCAAGACCCACTTGAAAGCGAGTCTTACCGAGACAGACTTTCTCGCGGGGAAATCATTGATAAGCGACAATGGTTGGGAGGGTTGTCCCCCAGCAGTCCTCGCGGGAGAAAGCCGTGGCACTTGGATCAATCGATCGATCGATCTGAAGGATTCATTCCGAGTTGCAAAGCGAACCCTGCGATAATTGGACACGCTCGGCTGAATCCCGTGCATCGCCATCCGCGGGCGCAGGAAAAGACAGCTCTTAATTGGACCTCAAAGGGCATTAATCGGGATCGCTGTAAAGGCATTAAAATTGAAATTACAGAGATAATAGTCACTTATATATTTTCCCAGTTCTCTTTATCTGCAGTTTGGGTGGGGGAGGGTTCATCCAGCAGTGGATTGATCATGCCCGCTGCTATTGCTGACGATGAGCCCTTTTCTAAATCCCACTGCTGGATAAAAGGGCCTTCCCTACATCACTGGCTTTATCGCCTTCTCCTGTCCACGTCGCGAAAACCCAAGCCGATGGACGGTCCAAGCCGTGGCAATCCCCCCCACGACGCAGTCTCCCGTCCGAGCGAGCGGCAGCCCACGGGGTTGGAGGAGCCACCGCCCTCTCTCACCTGACATCTGCAGGTGCCTCATGGTGGCCACGGGAATGCGCTCCGCGTGCTTTCCGCCGGGCTCCGTGGTGGTGACGGCGGCCTCGCCCTCGGCGGCCGGCAGGGCGGCTGCCTCGGTCTCTGTCTCGCAAGTCATACCTGGGGGGCATGTGGGGGGGGGCAGTGGGGTTGTGGGCAGCAGGGCCCAGTGGAGAGAGAGAGAAGGGCATGAGGCATTGGGCATGGTCTTGGGCAGGGGTCAGCAAACCGAAAATAACAAGAAGAGCGATTGTTTTTTTTCTAATTCGGTAAGAAACTCAATATTTTTCAAGAGCCGCATAGCAACGTGGGTACGAGTCGGTGGTGCCTTCCATAAAGGACGTCACGAAGCAGTCCTTTGAAGAGCCGCATCCTACTCCCGAGCCGCAGATTGCCGATCCCGGGTCTTGGGTAATGCCATACACACGTTACAAGCAGTTGCCTGCAAACGCCACTGCTGGCAGAAGGCCCTCTTGCTAGAGGGAGCTCTGGAGAGCACCTCTAAGAGGGCACTTTGGTCTAATATTTGGTGCTTTGGTCTAATATTTGGCAAGAGGTGGGAGTACCCACGTTTTACCCCACTACTCGCCACTTCCCGATCTGCTTACTAACTGTGGTGTATCCACGTACAGTCTACTGCTGGGTGATTAAAGGGGAGGGGGGGGGGCACGGGGGTGAGGAGAGATAGGGAAGAACCTGCCCATTGTTCTAACTGCCGTGCCGTGAGATTGAACCGGTGGCGACCTCTGGGTTGAGAGTCCGGGGGATGCTGAGCGGTGCGTCCCACGGCACCGCGGAGGCGCTGTAGCCGAGGGGATGGACGCTAGAGGCCGAGCTTAACCGTGAAATTACACGCAGGCTTCCGATCTTGAACGCGGATTTACAAATCACACAAAGACCAACAGATCCATGTCAACAATGGCTTCAAGGCGTTGCCTATTATACATTTATGTGGACTTTAAAAGGTCGCTGCAGTGCAGTCTCCAACTCGCATTATCCACTCTAGCCTCTCCAATGTATGTGTTATGAACAAGAGCCAATGCCTGAAACGTCGTCTATTATATATTTTTAAGGCCACGACGTTGTCGACAAATTAGTATTTGACTGCTGCTATACATTCCCAGATGTGATGATTATCAGGCACTGCGTTGAGCTATCATGCGTGGCCAGGTCACCTCTGAAAAGGAGCGAATGGCTCAGTGGGTTTCATCTCGTAAGTAAAATAACAATTTAGTTGAGCTCGATGTGTTTAGTGCAGAATTCACAGATAATTTGTTTAACATTTAAGTTGTGTGTACCCAAACCCTCGGCTAGCGAGGCTGCGTTTAACTTCCACCACAAACAAAACAATTTAAGATGACGTTCAATAAATAATATTGATATACTATTGTAAAAGTAGAACTGTACGTTCATAATTAAATGTTAACTGTTTGGTAAAGGCCATGAATTCCCACTGTGCACAGTGGGAAAATTCCACGCGGATTGTTTTTTTGTATGTGGAGTGAGAGAGGGAGATATAATGGCTCATCGTCATATTTTAATAATATAGGTTTACTCTCCCAACACGCCGGTGTGCTGAAGTAGTAACGAATTGACACGTTTTGTTTACGTAACAAACCTTACGAATTGACCTTGTCGGGTGGTGGTGGGTTCACGACACATTTATATTTAGGCGATCTAACCCAACAAAAATTAACACCATCATTAATAATATTGGTCGCGAAAGCCTGCCTACGTGTTACATTGAATACATGTGTCTTTTTATTTGCACCCACCCCTCCTCCCCCCAGTGTAGGAAATGGGGGGCTGTGTGCCCCTCCAAGCCACCATTAGCGCCCCCTACGGACACGTGGAAATGTTGCAGTTATTGTTGAAGCGGTCTTCCCGAACAGCGCGGAATGAGACGAAATCATTATTGTTGTCATTGCAGTCGACGGCGTTTGCGCTCGACATTCACAGACCGCTGTGTATATATGTATTCATGCGTGCGTACATACACACATATATACATAACATACACACTGGTTTTTATACTTTCATATACATAACACGTGCGCATGCATTATTCACGTTTGCATTCATTCATATTCATATATAATGCACGCATACATACATACATAATTGACACACGTGCATATGTATGCAACGCATACATAATATACACAAGACAAATACTAAGATCCCCCGTACAGCCTTAACAGACTCTCAGAGCTGTGAGCCAGCACCGATGAAGGCCGGAACGGCACACGAGGGGTGGGTGGCCAGCCACCACCCCAGCCCCTTTTGTCTTCCCAGTGGTACTCATTTGAGGCTGGGTCGACCTAGGCGAGGCCCAAGAACGGTTCGGATCATCGTCGCTGGTGTTGACCGTGAGCGGGAATCGAACTCGTGCCGTCGGGTTCGTTGCGCTGCTCGCTAACACAACACACGGGACCCACTCTCACAACGATGCAGTCATGAGTGTAAACCACGTGCCGTACACATGTGCATACACGCACGGGTATCTTCCCAAAATGACAAACTCGCGCGTACACAAAGATCCCCCGTGTAGCCTTAACAGACTGTTGGGGCAAGTGCTGTTAGCGAGTAGCACCTATGAAGGTTGTTAATCTATGAATCTTTAACACACGAGGGGGGGGTGGGACAGCACCACGCCCGACTACATTTGCCAAGTGGCGATGCTTTCACAGACCGCGCACCAGGCCATCATTTGAGGCCGAGTCGACGTAGGGGAGGCTCAGGACCGGTTCATGATAATCGTCACTGGGTGTTGGCCGCGAGCGGGAATCGAACTCGGGTCGCTGGGTTCGTACCGCTCCCCGCACACACAAATATACATACGTACACACAACGTTACATACACAAATAAACTCAAGAAACGAAGACATGCAAAGAAAAAAATCCCCGTATAGCCTTGAACAGACTTGGGGCAAGTGCTGTTAGCGAGCACCTATGAAGGCTACCGGCACTGTGGCACACAAGAGGGTGTGTGGCCAGCACCACGCCCGGCAGCCTTTGTCTCCCTAGTGGCGATGTTTACACACCGCAAAAGGTACTCGTTTGAGGCTGAGTCGACCTAGTGGAGGCCCAGTACCGATTCAGATAATCGTCACCGGTGTTGACCGTGAGCGAGAATCGAACTCGGGTCGCGGAGTTCGTACCGCAGCGCGCTAACCGCTACACCACCGCTCCCCACATGCACGCACACATACACACACAGGGTATATACACACAGGGTACACACACACACAGGGTACACACACACACAGGGTACACACACACACACAGGGTACACACACACAGGGTACACACATACACAGGGTACACACACACAGGGTACACACACACACAGGTACACACACACAGGTACACACACAGGGTACACACACATGGTACACACACACATGGTACACACACACAGGTACAGACACACACAGGGTACACACACAGGGTACACACACACACAGGTACACACACACAGGGTACACACACAGGGTACACACACACACAGGTACACACACAGGTACACATACACATAAGGTACACACACAGGGTACACACACAGGTAGACACACACAGGTAGACACACACAGGTACACACATACACAGGGTACACACATACACAGGGTATACACACACACAGGGTACACGCATACACAGGTACACACATACACAAGATACACACACAGGGTACACACATACACAGGTACACACACAGGTACACACACACAAGGTACACACACACACAGGTACACACACACAAGGTACACACACAAGGTACACACGTGCTTACAAGACAACAAACAAGACAGAGACCCCGAGTTAAGATTTGCGGACTGTTGGGGCCCAATTGCTGTCAGCGAGCGCCTATGAAGGCCGGCACAGATACAGCAGAGGGGGTGGATGGCCAACACCACGCCCGACCGCCTTTGTCTCCCCATATATACACACACACACCCCGACGGACGCACATACACCAGCAAGAAGCAGACGATAAAGAGCAATAAGTTAATGGAGAGTTAATTATAATCATCTTGATTGAATTAAAATCTAGATGCTCGGGGGCTTTCATTACTCGATGTATTCTAAGATGTTATAGACAGTATTTAGTTGTCAACGAAACAATGTATTGTCCCAAGGCTTCCAGCGGTGTAAGTGGGTAAAATTAAACTACATCACTCAATGTGTAGTGTGTGCGCGTGTGTGTACGTGGGGAGCGGTAGTGTCGTGGTTAGCGCGCTCCGCTGCGAACCCGGTGACCCAAGTACGATTCCCGTTCACGGCCAACACCACCAGTGACGACTATCTGAACCGGTCTTGGGCCTCCCCTAGGTCGACTCAGCCTCAAGTGAGTACCTCGTGCGGTGTGTAAACATCGCCACTGGGGAGACAAAGGCGGCTGGGCGTGGTGTTGGCCACCCACCCCCTCGAGTGCCGTGCCGGCCTTCATAGATTCTCGCTAACAGCACTTGCCCCTACAGTTTGTTGAGGCTATACGGGGGGGGGGGGGGGGTAGGATCTTTATCTTTGTGTGTACATGCGTGTCAGAGCGTGCGTGGTGTACATGTGGTGGAGCCGGTTAGTTGTGCTGCTCTCCGAACCCGGCGCTCCTGAGTTCGATTCCCGCTTACGGCCAACACCGGTAACGAATATCTGAACCGGTGGATTCATCCTTACCTGAACACGTGGGCGCGCGGTGTGTACACATCAGCGTGGTGCTGGCCACCCATCCGCACATCATGTGGTGTTCCGGCCTTCAAATAGATACAGCACTTGCCCCAACAGTCTGTTCAAAGGCGAGACTGTACGGGAGGGAGATATTTGTCTTTTATTCATTGTTGGGCGAGCGGTGGTGCAGTGGTTGGCGCACTGCGCCTACGATCTAAGGTTGTGTTGTTATTGTTGTTAAACACCGGGGGTGGTTTTGCTTTCTGGGTAACGAACAAAAAAACCGGTTAACGATTTTTCCGCACGTACTGTTTAGAAAAGTCGAGCGTGGCGTTGACAGCATTGAACATTTCCACGTTCTTAACTCGGAAATGAACGCAGCCGCCGCAGTACACACACACAACCAGCACACACACACCCAGCACAAACACACACACAACCAGCACACACAC